GAGAGAAACATTAATGTGAAAGAGACACATCGATTGGTGGCCTCCCCCATGTGGCCTTGGTGGGGTCCCGGGGGATTGAACCTGCAACTGAGGTATGTGCCCTTGACCCGGAATAATCTGTAACCCTGTGGTCTGCGGGCTGACGCTCTAACCCAGGGGTGGGCAAACTTTTTGACTCGAGGGCCACAATGGGTTCTTAAACTGGACGGGAGGGCCGGAACAAAAGCATGGATGGAGTGTTTGTGTGAACTAATATAAATTCAAAGTAAACATCATTACATAAAAGGGTACGGTCTTTTTTTTTTTTAGTTTTATTCATTTCAAACGGGCCGGATCCAGCCCACGGGCCGTAGTTTGCCCACGGCTGCTAACCACTGAGCAACCAGTCAGGGCAGGAAGCTTATATTTTTAATCAGTGGGAAATGTGTCTGACAGCCCAGTATACATTGAACAGTATGTGTACCATGTATAAAAAACACTTCTCTCCTTTCTTTGTCCTGCCCCCAGAAGATCATGCAACTTCTTCCTGTCAGGAGGGAAGCGAGCTCTCAGGATGATTCCTAAATTCTCAATGAAATGTATGCTTTGTCTCTAAATGGTTCCCACCTCCAGCTCTGGTGCAGGGGACCAGCTCCCCAATTATCTTTATTTTTTTAACCTTATTTTTTCCTTTTTAATCGGAAACGCAAACTGAAATTTGCTATGAGTTATAGGGTATTTTGCATATGTTTTGTCTAAATATTGGAACTTGTCATAATATTTAACGCCTAAAACACTATTCATGTGTGAGGAAAATGAGTCAAGTTAAAGCAATTAATTTTGAGGAAATTGGGGAAAGAGATATTTCTCTTTAATCAATAATGATAATTATAGATGTTGTATCTATTGGTATTTAAGTCCTCTAACTATAGAGTTGGAAGAAATAGCCTAAAATTTTAGAAGAAACATGATACTCAGTTAACCTTCATGTTAAATGTATTATGTTAGGAATCTTTATATCCTCCATTAAAATATGGCTTTCCAACAGAAAAGTACACAGATCATAAGTGAAACACCCAGGCACCTCGCACTCCGAGCAGGAAAGAGAACACGAATAAACTCCCAAGGTCCCACTCGTGCTCCTTTCACGCTATCACTCATCTAGCACCATAGATTCATTTTGCCTTTTTTTTGGAACTTGTGTATAAATTAGATCATGCAGTTTATGATATTTTTTTGGGAGAGGATAGGATCTGGGCTTCTTTTGGTCAATTATTTATGTTGTATGTTATAGCAAATTATTTCTTATTGTTGCATAATATTCCACGGTTTGGCTATCCACGGGATGTGTTATCTTTCAAAATATGTATATATTTCTGTTGGGATATATGTACAAGTGCAGTTGCTGAGCCATCTATGTTCAATTTCAGTGTATGCTGCCAGTTTTTCAATGTATAGTCCCATTAGCAATGTGTGAAAGTTTCAGTTGATTCAAATTTCATGGCACCACATAATATTAAAGCATAATAAGTTAAGGGTTCATGTTATAATCTTTAGGGTAACTAATAAAAGAATAGCATAATGGCTTGGATCAGTTTCTGGCCTCTCTATTCTGTTCCATTATATATATATATATGCCTGTTCTTGTTTCAGTACCAGGCTGTATTGATTACAATGAATTTGTAGTATAATTTGATATCTGGTATTGTGATCCCTCCTACTTGGTTCTTCTTTTTCAAGATTGCTATGGCTATTGGGGTCTTTCTTGGTTCCAAAGAGGACATACAGATGGCCAAGAGACACATGAAAAAATTCTCAAAGTCACTAATAATCAGAGAGATGCAAATTAAAATGACAGTGAGGTATCACCTCACACCTGCCAGAATGGCTACTATCAACAAATCAGCAAACAAGTGCTGAGGAGGATGTGGGGAAAACAGAAACCCAGTGCACTGCTGGTGGGAATGCAGACGGGTGCAGCCACTGTGGAAAACAAAATGGAGTTTCCTCAAAAAATTAAAAATGGAACTCCCATTTGACCCAGTGATGTCACTTCTAGGAATATATCCTAAGAATCCCAAAACACCAATCAGAAAGGATATAAGCACCCCTATGTTCATAGCAACACAATTTACAATAGCTAAGATCTTAAAACAGCTCAAATGCCCAGCAGTAGTTGAGTGGGTAAAAAAAAGCTGTGGTACATTTACACAATGGAATACTATGCAGCTGTTAAAAAGAAGGATCTGCCGAAACCGGTTTGGCTCAGTGGATAGAGCGTCGGCCTGCGGACTGAAAGGTCCCCGGTTCGATTCCGGTCAAGGGCATGTACCTGGGTTGCGGGCACATCCCCAGTAGGAGGTGTGCAGGAGGCAGCTGATCGATGTTTCTCTCTCATCGATGTTTCTTACTCTCTATCTCTCTCCCTTCCTCTCTGTAAAAAAATCAATAAAATATATTAAAAAAAAAAGAAAAAAGAAGGATCTCTTACCCTTTGAGACAGCATAGAGAGACCTGGAGAATCCTATCTAATAATAGACAAACATGGTAATTGACCGTACCTTCACTATGCCTCCCATTGGCTAATCAGCATGATATGCAAATTAACCACAAACAAGGATGGCGGTTAATTTGCATACTTAGGCTCCAAGCAGTGGAGCGAGGCCTCATGGCTCTGGGGCCAGCAGAGCAGCGAGGCCTGATGTTTCTGGGGCCGGTGGAGCAGTGATGTCTCCCGGCTACGGGGCTGGTGGAGCAGCGAGGCGTCCTGGCTATGGGGCTGGCGGAGCAGCGAAGCCTGATGTTTCCGGGGCCGGAGGGGCAGCAAAGCCTGACGTTTCTGAGGCTGGCTCCGGCCAGAATTTGGCCAGAGCGAAGGCCTGGGCCCTGGGTGCCGGAGGCAAACTGGTGCCAGCAGCCAGGGGAAAGGAAGGCCTATTGCATGAATCTCTTCGTGCAACAGGCCTCTAGTAAGCTAAATAAGCTAGTCAGAGAAAGACAAGTATCCTATGATCTCATTTATATGTGATGAACTGATGAACAAAATAGATCCAGAGACATTGAAACATGTAACAGACTGAGGGAAGGAGTGGGGGTGGGAAGAGATTAAGCAAAGAACTTATATGCATATATGCATAACCCATGGACAGACGATAGTGCGGTGAAGGCCTGGGGAGGAGGCAGGAGCCAGGGGGAGGGGGTTAATGGGGGAGGAAAGGGGGACATCTCTAATACTTTCAACAATAAAGATAATTTTTTTAAAAAAATATATTTTATTGATTTTTACAGAGAGGAAGGGAGAGAGATAGAGAAAAACATCGATGAGAGAGGAACATTGATCAGCTGCCTCCTGCACACCTCCTACTGGGGATGTGCCTGCAACCCAGGTACATGTCCTTGACCGGAATCGAACCTGGGACCTTTCAGTCCGCAGGCCGACGCTCTATCCACTGAGCCAAACCGGTTTCGGCACAATAAAGATAAATTTAAAAAATAAAGATAAATTTAAGAAAAAAGAATAGCAACAGACTACATATGTAATTGACAAGTTAATAGGTCAGAGACTGAAATAATAAAACTGCAATTAAACTAGAAGGGAAGGACAGAATAAAATTATTGAGTGACACAGAAAATAAATAGTAATGCCTGATATAAACCCACTATATCAGTGATTACATTAAGTGTAAATAGATTACATACTTTAAAGGATACTACCTTAAGACACAGCTTAAATATAAAGATACAAGAAGAGTAATAATAAGAGGATAGAAAAAGTTATATGTCAGCACTAACCAAAAAAAAAAAAAAAAACAAAACAAAAAAAAAAAAAAAAGCTGATGTAGCTATACTGATATCAGAAAAAGTAGTCTTTACAGTAAAAAGAATTTTTAAAGTTAAAAGACATTTTATAATGAATGAAAGAGTTGACTAGCCCACCTCCTGGTTAAAAACCTATGTGTGATTTTTTTCCAAGCCCAGCCATATGCAATTACAAAAGCTTTTCTTGGCAGGCCTCCTGGGGGAAAGCTGCCTTCCCCAAACCAGACTTGGTGCATGGCCAGGGCCCTTCAGTCCCTAAAGGGAGTTGCAGCCCAGGCCCTCCTGGTGGATCATAAAATTATACGTAATTCCCAGCCCAGAGGGTTTTCTGCAGGAACCTGAAGTAGAGGTCTTCCGTAGGAGACCCTGCACAAACCACCTGAGCAGGAAAAGGAGCGGAACCTTGAAGGTACTTTTTCTCCCCTTTGACTCAGTACTCAGTGCTTTTCCATGCTTAGCTCTTCTCCCCCCTCCTTCCCTGAGCCCTTGGGTCCACAATGCTGAGGAGCCTTTTGTTGGAGGCCCCCTGAGCAGTGAGAGATCCCCACTTCTCTGCTGATCTGCCTGATCCGCCATCCATTTCATGGGGAAACAGACTGGGAAGGGGTGTTTTCTCTGGTTTAACCTTTTGCTTTACAATCACAGTAAGTGTTAAAGGCTTGACTGTTATTTGCTCTTATTAGCTTTTTGCTGTAATCTGCTACTGTGACAGCTCTGCTGAGTTTCTGACAGGTTAATCCACCAGGAAGCAATAGCAGTTCTACATTTCTATGCCCCTAATGAATAACATACATAAAGCAAAAGCTAATAGTGCTTAAAATTGATCGAAGTATAACATACATGCAGAAAAGTATACAGGACAAGAGTGTACAGCTCAGTGAGCTATTACACAGTGAGCATAGCAGTATATACAACATGCTAGCACCTCAGAGGGCTCCTGATATACCTCCCAATCACTACTCCTTCCCTCTTCCTTAACGGTCACTACTATTCTGACCTCTCATTCAATAGATTAGCTTTGCCTGTTCTTAAACTTTATATAATAGAATCATCAGTATGTATTCTTTGTACTTGGCTTTTCATATATATATACACACACACACATACATACACATACACATACATATATATATATGTATATTTGTTAGATATGCTCTTAAACATCTCCTGCTAGGTATTAACTTATTATTATTGTCTTTCAGGTGTTTTAGAAAATAATTATGAGAGCTTACGTGTGTTAAATGTTGAAAGAAATGGAAACATAATCTATACCTATAAGGTATGTCTATGTCTCTCTTTTTCATTGTGGTAACATATACATAGAATAAAATTTACTATTAACCATTTGTAGTCTGTTTTTAAAATTTTATGCTCTGTTTTACTGAGGGGTAACAAATAATTCTTGTTGACATTTAACCTTTAATATGTCACTTCTTTTATTTTTGGAGATTCAATGGGGTGATTTAAATTCAGTCTTTTTTAAATAAAATAAAACTGTGCATAGTGTCTGATATAGTACTCATTTTTTTTTAATAAATGAAAAGTTCCATTTTCTAGAGAAAAAGTGCCCAGTAGAAGATGTTTAAACCCAATTAATATGTTAAATTTTTATCTTTGAGGAAATGTAAAATATGATTATTCTACATCATGTGTTTAGACTTAGATATATGCTCAGATTTTTGAGGTATTATTATTTAACAATGTATTTTCTTTCTTTTTTTAAATCCTCACTTGAGGACATGCTTGAGAGAGTAAGGGATAGAGAGAGAGAGAGAGAAAGAGAGGAGGGGAGAGAGAAACATCTATCGGGTGACTTCTGTACATGTCTCAACCAGGGATTAAACCTGCACCCCAGATATGTGCCCTGACCTGGAATCGAACAGGCAGCCTTTTGGTGTATACAGTAGGACATTGCTCAACCAGCTGAACCACTCCAGCCAGGCAACAAGGCATATTCAATGTTAAGTGTTTTAAGGAAAGAGAATTTAACTTTACTGATAATTTTATTATAGTAGAGAAACATGAAAGAATAATTTCAGTGGCCAGTTTGTTTTGCACCGTTGTATCACTGTACGGTTTTTTTTTGCTTAAAAAGTTATTGTTTTAAGTTGTATCTCTAAGTATGCTGCATTTAAGAAATCGTATGATTAAAAACATTTTATTTATAAGAACATCATGGCCTTGATATAGCAACTCCCAATATTCATTATATATGTCCTCTTACATAAATAGAAGTACAAAGAGATTCGCCCCTTCACCATGCGCAGTCCTGCAGTGTGACCCAAACGCACTGAGCTGTACACTCTCGATGCATTTTACACTTTGAGCCCAGACGAGGAGCTGAAATAGGTTCCGTCCCTTTCTGATGGGCACAGCATGCTGCCTTCAGAGTGCTTGTTGCCAACGTTGATTGCCTTATTGCAGGTTTGTTTTAAAACTTGCAACATCCTAACTTTCTAAACAATGACATTTAATAAACACCTCGTTGCATTTTTTTTAGGATGATAAGGGAAATGTCGTCTTTGGATTATATGATTGCCAGACCAGACAAAATGAGGTAAAAATCACCGTGGATTATAAATTACTCATTGGTTACTTTACTGCTTTTAGAGTTTTCCTTCTTTCGGCCTCCTTTTTCTAGATCCACATTCTCATTTTATTTTCTAAAATTTTAGTTTTTATTTCTTTGCCTTTCTTCTCTTCTCCCTTGACTCTCTCTCAGCACCATTATCTCTCTCTCTCTCTAAGTGCAAAGTCTTTTGCACCAAAACATCAGCTGAAGTCTCTGAGTCCTTTGAGATTTAAGCTAAATTGGCTCAGGCCAATTATCCAATATTCTGTAGGAATGTAGGGAGTCCAGTGCCCTCTCCACGGCTTGTGTGCCCCTAAAAGCTCAGGATCTCACAGTGACCTCTAGCTCTGCGTTCTGCTTCTGTTAACCTTCACTTACCTCACTTTTCAAAGACCCAGGTATAGAACCTAGTCTGCTTTTCTCAAATTTTCCCCAAGCCACCCACATAAGGCATTAGATAATGTGATAGGCTTGTCCAATTTTGGGGGCAAATGGGAGGAAGTCATTTGGTGCCCATATAAAAACAATTTACAACTGTTAAGGGATTAGGAAGTCTAAAAATGTACACTGGCACAAAACATTGCTACATGAACAAAACAAGTTGCCAGGGTAATACATTCCATTTATGTTTTAAAAAATTGCAAGAAAACTATGTTACACATGTGCATAAATATATATTAAAAACTCATTTTAAAAACTCCGGAAGACTAAAAAAAGAGCAAATTACCATCATGTTTCATTTTAGAAGAGAGTTAGGACTGCGTGAGCATAATGGAGCGCTTTGACTTTTTATTTGGTAGTGTTTACATGTTTTAAATATGGAGATTATGCTCGCGTTATTTTATAATTAAAAGGATAAAACACTAAACATGAAGTGTATACATCCATGATTCTTCTTACTTGCAAATTAGAATTCCTCAATTAGAGCAAGAGTCAAAGGAAACCAAACATTCTCACATGAATTCGGAGCCTTCTTATTCTTAGTTCTTGTTCAAAGTTCATTTTCTGTAATTTAGTGTGTTCTGACTTCCCCAAGTTTTTTTTTACCAACTTCTGGCCATAGGATTCTCATGTGTTCTCAGTGCTTTTTTTGCCTGCAGGTACTAATTACCTTCTTAATACTTCTACTATTTATTGTTTCTCTTAACCCACTGGTTCTCAACCTTCCTAATGCCACGACCCTTTAATACAGTTCCTCATGTTGTGGTGACCCCAACCATAAAATTATTTTTGTTGCTACTTCATAACTGTAATTTTGCTACTGTTATGAATCGTAATGTAAATATCTGATATGCAGGATGTATTTTCATTGTTACAAATTGAACATAATTCAAGCATAGTGATTAATCCCAAAAACAATATGTAATTATATATGTGTTTTCCGATGGTCTTAGGTGACCCCTGTGAAAGGGTCGTTCGACCCCCAAAGGGGTCGCGACCCACAGGTTGAGAACCGCTGTCTTAACCCATTCTCCTCTGACATCTAAGACTCTTTATTTTCTTTATCCTCTGAGTGTACTTTATAAGTTTGCCCAATATAAGTAATTGTCTCCAGTTCCTCAATCTGTGCCTCACATCCTCCTTCTGAGTGACCATTTTCATTTTCTTTAATATTCAAGGAAATGGAACAAATGTTTGCAAAATTTCAAACAGCAACAAGACAATAAAAATAAAGATAGATTACTTTGCCAATGCAATAAATACAAGAGTCCTATAAGAGATGTACTTGTGAGTCTCTTAGGCATGGCTAGTTATATCATGTTAAATAATTTGATTAAAACTTTACCTCAGTGATTTTAATAACTAACATTTGGGTGCTTATGTATGGCAAACATTGTATTAAGTGCTTCATATGGATCATCTCACTTGATCCTTCTAACAATTTCATAAGATAATAGGAATCATTTTGATTCCTATTTTACTGTTGGGAGGATAGGAAGGTTGAGTTACTTGTCCAAAGCCACACAGCTAGCAAGTGGCAGAGTCAGGATTAAAACCTGGGTCTAGTTTGGCTCCGAGGTCTGTGCCCCTCACTGCTAAGTTTCAGTGCCAAACATGGCTGAAATAGCACATTTTTTTTTTCTTAAAAAATAATCAGAAATTCCTCAGTATGAATAAACTGGTTCATTGAGGGTTCTTTAGTAAAATGTTCGCCACAATGATATTTTGTAGATAGCTAAATGGGAATCTGTATATAAAACCCCCAATTAAAAAATGCTTTATTTTAATAGCATCTCTATACGTTCGAGAAAGACTTGCAAGTTGTCAGTTGCTCTGTCAACAGTGAGAGAACTTTGCTTGGTAAGTTGAACTCTTTTAATGCTACATGTCAAGAACTAAATTACATTTTTTTTGAGTTTCAAAGTATTGAATTTTTACAATATTTGATTAGTGTATGACAATGATTTTCTGTGAAGAGAAGCTCTTAGGGGATTAGATGTGAAATAAAGAATCTGTTGAGTCTGCTTACAAAAAAAGATTGCCTGGTATTCCTCCTTAATCATCCCTGACAGATGCTTTGAGCCCTCACTTAATTCACATAGCAAATAGTAAACTTGAACAAGCCACTGCATGAAGCATTTGCTAATGACTTATTTTTTTTTCCCATTAGCTGCAAGTTTAGTTCAATCTACTAAAGAAGGAAGAAAGAATGAGCTTCAACCAGGTAATGAAATTATACTTTCTAGTGCTTACTGATAGATGAAGATTTATTGAACGACTTAGTCCAATTTCAGGCATCTTTACAAGTAGCTTTATCTCAGAATGAAAAGGTAAAGGTCAAGCATGTGAAAGAGTTTAAATTTTTTTCAAGTAAACAAGTAAGTACAGAAAATATTATAACAGTAAACGGCAGGAGTATAAAAAGGCAATTAGCATCTGCAAAGTACACATTGAGAACATATTAGAACCCCATGGGCAGGAGCTGATGTAAAGGGTAAAAGTTTGGTATTTCTTTAACAATACCATTTACAAAAAAAATATCTGGTTAACTATTGACCAATGCATAATGCAATATGAGTAGTCCATCAATTCTAAATATAAAATCAATTCTACACATTTGTCAAGGCCCACTTCATAGTTTGTTATCTATGTGATGCCCCCCTGCCATCCTTTTAACATTTTATAATATCCATTCCTCTGCTCAGAACCCAAGAAATATTGAATGCCTGCAGTGGGTCAGGCACTATGCATTCTGCTAAGGATACAGTGGTTCGAAAAGAGGTGTGGCAATTGCCCTGAGGGGGAGTTATAGGGACTAGTGGTGGGTGGGGATGCCCCATTGAGCATGTGCCCCTTCTTCGAAGGAAGCCCACTGGGATCAGCTTTCAGTTTATCAAGAGAATTATGGTCCTGGCTGAGTGGTTCAGTAGTTTGAAGCATCGTCCCGTACATCAAAAGGTTGTGGGTTCGATTCCTGGTCAGGGCACATACCTGGATTTCAGTTTCGATCCCTGGTTGGGGCATGTGTGGAGGCAATCGATTGATGTTTCTCGCTCCCTTCCTTTATCTCTAAAAGTCAATTAAAACATATCCTCAGGTAAGGATTTTCTTTTTAAAAAAGACAAGTATGGATGTTGATGCAAAAATTTTACTTTTAAATGTTGGCTCAAATATTTTTTAAAAATTCTCCTTGGGCAATGATAACCACCTGTGGCTGAATCTAGCCTGTGGACTCCCATTTTTCAACCTCTGGCCTAGTGGATCTCATTTCAATCTCTTGCTATTCCAATCCTGCAGTGTGTTCCATCTGCTCTGTTTATTCGGCACTTAAACTCCTTCTTTTGCTAGCATAGTTCCCACTCGGATGTATTCACCTGCAGTTGCATGTAATGGAGAAACCCTTTTACATACTTTCCACACGAGGCTTATGAGGCGGTCCTGGGCTCCCACAGAGCCAGCTTAGAGGGACTCAAGTCTGGGTAGGACCTTCTCATCCTCAGCAGAGGAGTTTCTGGGAGATGTTGGTGAGCGGGATGCAGTGTCTGAAATCTCATGTATTACGCACCCAGCCTTCCCTCCTGCCACGTTACACTGAGAGCTGCAGCAGTCCTCTTCCCTCTTCTGTGCCCTGTCCTGCTCTTAGCATTCTCTGCTCTTCGCAATGCTCACATCAGAGGTAATGGAACTGGATGAGCTTAAGCGAAATAGGATCTAAGATATTGGTGTCCTGACCTTTAAAACAAGGGTATGAACAAAATCAGGATATGACCCTGATTTCCTGGGAGAATACATCCCTTTACCAAGGAGAGACAGGCCCAGTTGCTTGTATTCTTCCCGATCACCAGGCTGGATTAGGTCCCTGCCCCTCCTAGTTATTTTCTATTTTGTAAGAATATTTTTTCCATTGATTTTTAGGGAGGAGGAAGGGGAAGAAAGAGGGAAAGAGAAAGAGGGAGAGGGAGAGGGAGAAGGAGAGGGAGAGAGAGAGAGAGAGAGAGAGAGAGGAGAGAGAGAGAGAGAGAGAGAGAGAGAGAGAGAGAGAGAGAGAGAGAGAGAGAGAGAGAAACATTGATGAGAGAGAGACACACATCGATTGGTTGCCTCCTGCATGCACCCCAACTAGAACTAGGAACAAACTCAAAACCCAGGTACGAGCCCTTGACTGGGAATGGAACCTACAGCCCTTCCATCCATGGCCGAGCTCTAACCACTGAGAAAAACTGGCCAGGACTGTCTGACTTTTTACTTAGCATAATGCCCTCGAAGTGCATTCCCTGCTGCAGCTTTTGATCCTGTTGTTTCTACTTCCTGGATGCCCATATCCCGCGGCCCCGTCTTTCCCTTCAGGGATGCCCTCCCAGTCTCCACTGATAGCTGGATTCTCTAAATTCTTAAGACAATTTTAGACATTTCATGGAACCATGGGATTTTTATGGTTGAAATTAATTGTAGAAATAATCTGGTCCTGTAGTTCTTCATTTTATTTTTTAAATAATAAGGTAGGGATGCCTAGAAATCTTTGTGACTTGCCGAAAGGTATATATTAGGTTAGTGGCAGAGCTTACACTAGAACTGATGTCTCCGGAATCTTAATTCAGAGTGCTTCCTGGTACACTGTGAAAACACATGGTATGTTACTGAGAGAAATGCCCTTTGGCACAATTATTCTTATTATGCTAATTATATTAGTTAGATGTCTCTCTGCTGCTCTAAAGAAGGGAAATATTAGTGTAGGAAAATGGCTTCTGTCCTTGAAAATCCTCCCATTTTCAGGCAAGTTAATTTAGTTGATAGCTGGTTATCTCATTTGGGTACAATTCACTGCCAAAAAGGGTAAACATAAAGTGATTCCTTTTTTCCACTGAGAAGATTCCCCTGCCTGCCCCCCCCCCCAAAGTTTTTTCTCCCCCCGTTAAAATATATAAGCTTTTAGGGCAAGAAATAAAATAGTCAGATGCCAGCTGCACTACTTAATATGTTAATGTCGTTATACCAAATTAAAAGAACATCCTATATAATAAAAGGGTAATATGCAAATTGACCCTAATGGTGGAATGACTGGGAAAGACCAGTTGCTATGACGTGCACTGACCACCAGGGAACAGATGTTCAATGCAGGAGCTGCCCCTGGTGGTCAGTGCGCTCCCACAGGAGGAGCTCGGCTCAGCCACAAGACAGGATGATGGCTGCGAGCACAGTGGTGGTGGCAGGAGCCTCTCCTGCCTCCTCGGCAGCTCAGTCAGACATTCCTCAAGGGCTCCTGGTCTGCCAGAGGGACGTCTGACTGCCAGCTTAGGCCCAATCCCCTAGGGGAGAGGGCCTAAGCTGGCAGGTGGACATCCACTGAGGGCTCCCAGGCTGTGAGAGGGTGCAGGCGGGCTGAGGGACCCCCCAAGTGCACAAATTTTTGCGCACTGGGCCTCTAGTAAAATAATAACGACATGGGAATTTTGGACTGGAACACACAGTTTTCCCCTGGGCAGGATGGCTTCCCCAGATTCTTTGTCTGTCAGAGTCAGAGAATGAAACCACTGATGGAAGATGGTATAGCAAAAGTGGAAATTTATTGAAGAACAAGTACAGACTCCCATGTGGGGAGGAGGAAAGAGTCCCACAGCACAAATTCCCACGTAGGGAGGGGGAAAGAGTCTCACTGAGTTCCTTTTCCCCCAGTTTATAAAGGCTACGGTTTTTGTGCCTCAATATCCCCTCTGATTGGCCACTATTCCCCTTTGATTTGGTCACTATAGCAACTCCTGAGCTCAAAGGTCAAATCTCACATGGGGCATGTGAGGCCCTTCTTCTTTATTTTGTAAATATAGACCTTTGGCTACTCCCAGTTCCCCTATCTTATGGAAATGTAACTTCTGCTGCTTCCAACTTCCTTGTCTTATGGAAATGTAACCTTTGTAGCTCTGTAGCCCTGTGTTTCTTCCATGGATCCCCTTAATTATAAAAATCCCCTAAACCTGCCGATTTTACCCCTAAATATTCCTATTTCAATAAGGAAAATTGCTTTTTCTTTTTATGTTCACATTTAAAAAAATAATTTTTTATTTTTCAATTATAATTGTCTTCATTCTCACATTTCACAGAACATTTCTATTCTATTTTCATCACCAGCATCTTTGACACCATGGTCTTTTTTATTCCTAGAACCATTTTTTTGAGTCACCAGGCAAATTCCTAAAGCACCTCACCTTTATTCTATCCCATTTATTGGGAATACAGTCCTTTTTAATCAGTGTATGATCCTGGATTTTTATTCGAAGTTACAAGTACCCATTGACCAAACAACATTTGATTTTCTTGTTCTGTTGTATATATTTGTGATCCCACGTAATAACTCACTCACTGTCTTGATTTGTAAGTAATCTTTAAAGGCAAGTTATAGAGATGTCCAGTCCTTGCAATTAGGAGGACTATCCCAGAAATTGTTTTACATTCTTTGCCTTTTTTAAAAAATTAAATGAAAAGTACTATCAGGTTACTTTCTTAAATAGTGAATGAAAACTGGCTTTGATTCCATTCTAGGCTGCTGTGCTATCCCCAAATTAGACATTGTCATTCAAAATGAAGTCACTGGAAAGTACCAGAGAACAGTAGTCTTTATAAGAGCTCAACTATAAGGCAACTCCTTTTGAAGTTTAATCTTGAGGGAGGGGAACTTCTGGCCTATATTTGGATATTTGCGATAATCCCATTACAGCCTGTGTCCAAGGACTTCCTCCTAGCTGCTATCTTTGTTGACATTTGCTTGAAAGTGACACTGAGGAAATAAGTGGGTGTTTATCAGAGCAGCTCCGCCCATTCCTGAGGGAAGCCAAGTCCCCGTCCTACTGATGGGTGCTGTCAGCTCAAACATGTTCATGCATCAGGAGTATCTTCGTATTTCCACACACAAACCGCACCTGCCACGGTGCTGCAGAGCTGGAGTGACGCTGAAGTAAACTGTCTTATTTGGACTTAGAAGCTGCGAGGGCCCGTGAAGCTGCGCTAAAAGTGGCCGAGGAATGGGAGGAACTGGCTCCTCACTCCGTGAGCACCGGCCTCTCCTTTATGATGTTTTCTGTGTCTGTTTGGGGTTCTAAGAAAGGTCACAGTCAACTTTAAGAAAATTATTTTTCTTTGTGTGATACAACAGGCAACACATGTACATTTTCCAAGTTCAGACCTATGTGGAGAAAATAATGTGCGATTTTCTGGTCTTCGTTTCTAAAAGCCTCCTTTACTTTGTAGGATCCAAGTGCTTAACTCTGTTGGTTGAAATCCACCCGGTCAACAATGTGAAGGTTCTGAAAGCAGTGGATAGCTATGTTTGGGTTCAGGTGAGTGAGCTTGTCATTTAACACTTACCTCATTAATCAAAAGGCCTGAACCTAGAGGCAACGGTGTTTACCAAGGGCCTTCACATACTTTGTTACATTTTACCCTCAAAGCACTCTGATAAATGGTATGGCAGGAATTATCAGCTCTTCCTTTGCAAACATGGGAATCTTTAAAATAATCCTGGTTCCTCTGTCTCTTTTGGATCATGTTTTGTCTGATTAAATGACTTAACCCCGTAGTTGATCAGCTCCGTGAAGTGGACGTAGAAGCACTGTGTGGACAACGCCGGGGACTAGACAGAGGCAGCCCTCCTTGCTTGCTCCTCCTGAATTGACAAATTCTGCTAAAATTTATTTGTAACCCAAAACCAGTACTCCTGGTCCTTTCACAGTCATTTGCAGACACGTTCAAAACGGTGGAGAATTTGTTACCCAGGGCACACATTTCTAGAGCTGAGGTTTGGATCCTAACCGGGTGCCCTTTGAGAGTTCCCCTGCAGCATGAGGTGCATCTTCCAGATAGTTCCAGTGGATAATTACACACCCACCTACACCCCTATCATGCGAGCTCTCCAATGATGGCTGTGAACAATCGAAGCTCCATATTTGTGAAGATAAATATTTCCTTAACGTCTTTATAGCTTCTTACTCACAATGCAAAAAATAAAATAAAGTAAAATAAAATAAAAAATACCCCAGACCTTGCAGGTTTTTGTGGAGCTGTGTCTGCAGCCTGTTGATTTATATTCTGACTTCTAGGCCTTGCTCTAGGGTTGCTTCATAAAAGAAAGAAAGACAACCAACACCTAAGTGGGACTTTCCAAGTCATGTTCTCACTGATTGCCGCACGAGGACCAGGCAGAGGGTTAGAACTCCACGGCACCTTCGTCCAGGTCCAGCCCTAAGCGAGCGTGCCCCGCCACCTGTGTGGCCCCAGGGGAGGCCCCGCCACCTGTGTGGCCCCAGGGGAGGCCAGGCCATCTCCTGTGGGAGTACCTCCTTGTGTTGAGACACTGAGCATCTACTCTTCCGTTATGCATGTGGTGTCGCTCATTTTTGCTTCTCCTCTCCCCAGGACTCAAAGTACCCTGCTCGATGTGCCCCACTTCACAAGTCAGGAGATAATCAATTCTGTATTATTTTTGTAGCAGAATTCTGCACTTGCTATCTATTTTATAATGGTGAAGTTATTGCTATGAAGAATGGTATATAGTTAATGTTTTGTTTTTCAGTTCTAAAAGGGAAACCGGACTACAAATAATTTTTAAAACTGACCGTTTCTATTTCCAATTTGTCGTTGTGAAAAGTTAGGACACCAGGTATATATATATAGTTTGTAAAAAATGTTCCTAGTCTGTAGAGAGGCTGCCAACTATACCATAGGGACGTTAAACGTTGTGTCCTTTCAGTGTGCTTTCAAGTTTGGAGGGAAAAAATGAAATTCCCTGGTGAATCTTCTCTAGTAAGCTTTCATGTTGCAAGACAAACCTGCTGATTTGTAGTAAACCTTTTGATGATGAAAGAATTAAGTCACTGGGGTCTCATCCCATGACCAGTGTTCCCTCATATCACAGTTGACAGCGTCGGGCCATGGGTTTCTGGCTGCCTGCTTGTCACATAGGGGAGAGCACCGAGGAGGAGGAGTGGGGTGGCCTCCCCTTTTCTTCCCAGGGGCAGTCATTCTTTGAGGCTTGCAAGTCCTCCACCACATGCCATATGGTGACTCACTGTCCTTTCTTGGAAAGTCCCTGGCTGTGTTTGGCTTTGTCTCTTGGATGTGGGACTTGAGGTTGTAACAGAGGGTACGTTTACTTAGCTCTCTAATTAAATACTAGGGTTTAGTTGCACAACCAATGTATTGATCGCTCTTATTTTGTGCCATGTGAGATAGAGCTTTCTGTACAAATGTTACAGAAAGCTGATTGTGATTCTGATTGACTTCAGAATCACATTTTCCAAATAGGAAGCCCCGTCTCTAGAGATAGCTTACACGTTAGCCTTACCATTTAAATGAATTGTGTTAGACCTGCAGTCAGTTTCCCCCTGAGCTCCTGAAAGCGTTCCACTTTGCTGCTGGCTTCCATCTGTAACGTGTGCGTGCCTAAATGTGTGACTCACCTGCACTGTTCTGTGGTTCCCAGCCCTTTCTCTGGTAGGTAGCAATATGGTGATCAAATACAGCTTTTGAAATAGCTGTGTACGCAAGGTAGTTGCTCATGGTTTTGATTGATTTTCTTTTTGCAGTTCCTCTACCCGCATGTTGACAGTCGTTCCTTTCCAGAGACCCGTCTGGTACTGATTTCAGAGGAGAAGTGTAAGTGCATCTGTAGGTGGTGTGTGGGACTTCATGAGTGGGCTCTCCTATTGAAGTAGGGGCCATGGCTGAATTTTCTAGAGGTCCACTCACCAGTGTTGAGGCTCTGCAGACCACAAATGTCCATCTGAGACCTGGGACTCCTGTAGAAGGGCTGTTGCCCAGCTGTCTGTCTCACACTTTTGTAACTAGAACTGGCAGAAGGTAAGTAGGATGAATGAATCTAAATTGCTTACGGAGAGAAAGGGAACCTCTACACATTCACCCAACATGTTCAGTTTTGTTAATGTGAAGTTGCTCCCTATAAAAAAGCCTCCCCGATATCTTCTATGAGTTTTCTATTTGATATTTTCATACAAACAGGTGTTTGGTGTTTGGAAACTGCAAGTAAACCCTAACAAATGAGCTCTTATTAGTTGCACATAAGAACGATGGTGTAGGGCAGTGATGGCGAACCTTTTGAGCTCGGCGTGTCAGCATTTTGAAAACCCTAAGTTAACTCTGGTGTCGTGTCACATATAGAAATTTTTTGATATTTGCAACCATAGTAAAACAAAGATTTATATTTTTGATATTTATTTTATATATTTAAATGCCATTTAACAAAGAAAAATCAACCAAAAAATGAGTTCGCGTGCCAACTCTGACACGCGTGCCAACTCTGACACGCGTGCCATAGGTGCGCCATCACCGGTATAGGGGAGGCAAATGCTTGTTGAGGGGACTCAGGGGAGCAGAAAGGTTTATGTGTGCATTGCTGATATTGAGGAGCAGGGTAAATATTGGACTTGAAAGAGACTGTAAAGGGAGGTTGTGTTTTGAACCTTTACTGTGAGATTACTGTCTGTGATAATATTTTTCAGTCAGTTGTTTAATCTCCCTTTTTTTTTAATAAAAAAATTATTCACAATGGTTAGGTGAAAAAGTAGCACTCATGTTTTTCACAAAGGTTAAATGATCTTTCTATTGCTTCTTTGTTTAAAGATATTGAACAATTTCATATCCAAGTCATTCAAGAAGATGGAAATAGAGTGGTAAGTGTTTGAAGTTCCTTTTGTTTCAGAGCCCACCCCCCACCCCCCAAGAATGACATTTCTAGACGGTGAAAGGTTAATGTGCCCTGGCCGGTGTGGCTCAGTTGGCTGGGTGTCGTCCTGTGCACCGAAAGGTTGCTTGGTCAGGGCACATACAAATTGTGGGTTCCATCCCCCATATAATCAATGTTTCACTCTCTCTCTCCCTCTCCCTTCTTCTCTCTAAAATCAATGAAAGACATTAAAAAGTAGGCTAACATTATAGAAACAATATTTTCTTTGTTTGCTGTCTTTCAACTTATAGTGTTGCTGTTGTAAAATGTGAACTAATACAAGATATATAAAGGAGCCCTAACTGGTTTGGCTCAGAGGAGAGAGCGTCAGCCTGCCGACCGGAGGGTCCCGGGTTCAATTCATGTCAAGGGCATGTACCTTGGTTGCAGGCTACTTTCCAGCCTGGGCCCTGGTCAGGGCTCTTGCAGGAGGCAACCAGTCGATGCATTTCTTTCACAGTAATGTTTTTCTCTGTCTTTCCCTCTCACTTCCACTCTCCCTAAAAAAAAAAAAAAAAATTAATGGAAAAATATCCTCCGGTGAAGATTAATAACAACAACAAACCCAATATGTATGTGTGTGTGTGTGTATGTATATATATATATATGGATTAAATGTTCTCTTTACCTCTATCTCAGCCTCTAATTTGGTCTCCTGAGATAACTTATAATGACAGCCTGTGTGACTCTTTCCACAACTTTGCCTTGCTCAGGTGCATGTATACAAGGATTCAATTGTTTTTTAGCAAAATAGAATTATAGCATATATATTAATTTGCTGCTTTTGTGTTTGCTTTTGCATAATATATCATGGGTATCCTTACAGGTTTCTAAATAAATATATAACTTTTTCCTCTAATTTTCTATCTATAGATACATATACATATATAATAAATGGGATCATAACATATATGCTGGGGTTTTATGTAGTTTAATTTTCTTTTATTTATTTTTTTGCTTGTTTTCCACTTCTCCCTCACCTTCTCACCTTTATTTTTGTTTACAACCTGGTATGTATCCTATCATGCTTTTCTCTATACGTCTGTTGTCTCTCATCCTCTCCCCTAACACACCCAGGGGTTTGTTTATTGTTCACTCCTTCCTCACTCAACTTTGTGGAATGACCTGTAGGTCACCTAGAATAGTTCCAACTTACTGTCTTTAGAAGTACTTAATGTAAACAGTTTTCAACCATTTTCCCACAGATGTACATTTACTTGATTACCAACTTATTTTATTTGTTTGCATTAGAAATTGTCTCAAACATTTTTGTGTCTATAGCTTTCCATATTTGGTACACATATTTCAGGGTTAAATCCTCAGGTATGGATAATTGGGTTGATGCTTTAATAAATGTCAATAGATTTTGCCAGATTGCTTTTCAAAAAAATTGTAACAATTTACAGTTTTAAAAGCAAAGTATAGCAAAACCCTTTTCTCTATCCATACCATTAATAGGTGTATTTGTCTTTTTAAAAAAAATTCCAATCTGGTGGGTATAAGTTGATGCTAATATTTTAGTCTGCATTTCCCTTGGTATTAGTGAGTTTGAACATCTACTATGCTTATTGGCTATTTGAATTTTTCTAAACATTGTTTAGTTGTTTTTTCTTTTGCTATTTTTCTACTGGGTTGTCTTTTCTTGACAATTTGTGATGTTAATATCTTCTTGTTATTTAAAATGTCCTTCAATATTTAAATCAGCATCAAACTAGTGTTTGAAGATTTTAATTTTAAGGTTATGTGAAGAAAATTGAAATGGAAAATCACATTTATTAGCATGTATCTACTATTGATTGCCTTATATCCAGAGGCCAGGCTGGAACATGACCATCTATGGTTAGAAAAACATGTGTGGCTAGAGCTCTGGGCCACCAGTGACTAAGTGGATGGGAGGGCAAGATCACGGCCAGTGGTCGGAGAGGAAAGAACAAGGCAAGATCCCAAAGCCTGTGATGAGAATTTCGGGGAGAGAGGTAAATAAACAAGCAGGGCTCAGAAGCTGGGAGCGGCAATAGACCAAGGACTGGCTGGTTGGAAGAGGGTTTGGGAGCCAAGAAGACACTGTAGAGACAGCGAGGGCAGCGGGCACTTGTCAGCAGCCCAGAAAGGCTTCTCCCTGCCGAGAGGGTGCAGCCTCAGCATCCGTGGTCCATGTGTGCCCTACTGTGAGAGGCACTTCTGCCTTCATTCTTAAAGGCTTAGACCACAGCTTCGTGAGGCAGTGTGCGGCTCCGCGCATTCCTCACATTCCTGCGTGATGGAGGTGGTGTTATACTCATTCCATTTTTACAGGAAATAACAAAACCAGGACTCAGAGATGACATAGCTCCAGAGATGTGAGCCCGGGTTGCCACACTCTGGTAATGAGGTTCTTGTCAGTACATACCTTTTTTTAAAAAAAAAAACAAACACAACACACACACACACAACACACACCATATTTTTATTGATTTCAGAGAGGAAGGGAGAGGAGAGAGATATAATCATTGATCACCTGGCTCCTGCTCGCCCCCTACTGGGGATGGAGCCCTGCAACCTGGTCATGTGCCCTTGACGGGAATGAAACCAGTTCCCCCACACTCTATCCACTGAGCCAAACCAGCTAGAGCTTGTCAGTATATACCTTTATCTGAAAGAGTTCCCAAATCTATCTGAACCTAACATTTTTCAGGAAAATGGAAACAAGATGGCTTTCCAAGGTTTAGAGACAAACAGGCCCTCTTGGAATTTTTCTCCAGCGACTCTTCCCTCTAGCCTCTGGGCATCGGCAAGCCAGAATCAGAGGTGCACGATTCTGCGTGCCCTGTGCCTTCCGTAAGTTCCAAGTTAGCCTCAATCGCAAAATCCCTGTTAGGGTTAGAGAGGGTTTAGGCATGAAAATGGATATAGAAGCATCAAACAGACCGTCCAACCCAGAGGAAGGCAGAAGAGGGCGGGGAGGTAAGAGATCAACCAAGGACTTGTATGCATGCGTATAAGCATAACCAATGGACATGGAGAGTAGGGGGTGAGGGAATGTGCTAGGGAGTGGGAGCAGCAGGGGAGAGGTCAATGGGGGAGAAAGGAGACATAAGTAATACTTTAAACAATAAAGAATTTAAATTAAAAAATAAATAAATAAAAAGAGAACAAATTATTACATTAAAAAAAAGAAAAAGAAAGTGGACCATTCTATGTTCCCTTTTTGTTTTCTCACTTCTACCTCAACCTGTCTACATTCTTGTTTTTAAATTTTTTTTTATTGATTAAAGTATTACAAAGCGTATTACATATGTCTCTTTCCTACCCCCCCCCCCCCCCCCCCCCGCCGCCCCCTGACATTCCCTGGCCCTGTCTACATTCTTTACTCATCTGTCCCTATATAGAATACTTGTGCTACATAAAGCATTTTGAGGGATGTGAATACTTAATTCCTTGCATTAAACTTGTAATGTCCTTGGCAATTCACATACCTTATCTCATTTTCCTTCTTTTGAATAAGCATTCCTTGAGAACTGTTATGTGCTAGAGACAAGGCATTGAGAATAGGAAGGTGGCCTAGAGGAGTGCATGCTCACTGGGGAGACTTAGAGGATTCATTAAAATGTAACTGTAACAGGAGCATCCCAAAGTGCCATAGGAGTACAGAGGTGGGAAGCTTTGCCTTGGTCTTGGGCCTAAGTTTTCCCTTGGCAGCCCGGCCTCTGTGAAGGCCTCGTCAGCAGAGACCCGAGTGGGTTATGTCCAGAACAGAAAGCTCTGGCTCCTCTATTAACTTAGCTATTGACTTGTGCTATGTGTGGCCTTGCCTTCAACACCACCAGCCTGTCTGTTAAAGTAGGAATAGAGTAAAATCGTATATTATAAAGTGTTTGGGAAGAGCAAGTAATGAAATGATGCCTTAAATCTTTTCTAAAAAGACTTGCCATATGCATGTGTTGGGGGGAGGGGAAGGCTGCTAAAAATAAACTGTGGAAATACTTATATGTATTAGATAAAATATGCAAATTAACAATGAATTCCAGATCTTTTTTCTTTTAAAATAGTTTCTTATTTCTAAAATCTGTTTGCCTCTTTAGGTGATTAAAAATTCTGGCAATGTCCCAAAAGAGAGAATAGCAGAGGATTTCGTTTGGGCTCAATGGGATACGGCAGAGCAGAGATTATACTACATTGACCTGAAGGTAAAAGCTAGTCCGGTGGCCCTCCTTTTCATAGGTACAATTGAATTTTGACATTATCGTTATTGTAATTTACCAGTGACTGCATTTTCATTGATGGTTTATTGAAAAGAATGAAAAGCTTTTCATTACTGTTTGCTTCTTGGCTGCTTCTTTCTCTCTCATGCTCTTTTGTTTTTTTAACTTGTGTTTTTGTTGGTTTTAGTGGGATAAAATGTCATTTATTTGGTTTCCTCTTTTAGAGATCAAGGAGTACCTTAAAATGTATCCAGTTTTGTGCTGATGAGAACTTTAACCTAATGGTAAGTCCAGATAATGACTGGGCTAGAGGAAATTTTTTTAACATGGTGCTGCCCCTTTTTAAAGAGAATTGTCATCATTAACAGCATTTTAGCACGCTTGATGTGCGATTTGTCAGTTGTGTGAACAAGTAAAATAGTTCTTGCCATCTCAAGGCTTCACCACTATAGCAATTCCAATGAATATACACAGGAAATTTCTGATAACTGAATGCTTCACATGAAAGAAACAAGTGTAAGAGTGAGGATTAGTAGAAGGAAATAGGTGTGGTCTTCTAAGTCATTGATGCCAAAGGATTTATGAAGTTGGAGGATTTGAGAATCAGGTCAGTGAGAGGGCATAGTTTAATTAGTAAAAATCTAGCATGACTCCTGAAAAAGCTATTTGGAATGCTAGCCTTGGGGTGAGGAGTCATAAATATTTTTATCTGTAATGGACAGTACATTATTATTTTTCCTGATGAGGACTGATATTGGTCTAGATTGGCATTATACCATTATAAGAATTCATTTATTCCTCCTGCACCCCTCCCCCTTCCCCCTTTTTGACTCATCCATGCTCCTGCTAAAGACACCAGTTCTTTCCTTATGTGGTCATCTGTGTCTTGTAAAAGTTTACTCCCTTTAATTGGCTTATTATATAATCCGTTTATGATACTCAAATCTGAAGCAAAGTTTGCCAAATATTAACCCTTTGAGAAATAAATATAGGCGAATCTTGTGATTGCAGTAAGCTCCAAAATATTCCCGATGGGCTTTCTGTGCTGTGTGTCTTCAGGATAACCTCTGAAGACAATGATGGTTAAACGGGCTGTTCATCATTAGGCGAGCACAGCAGTGTCAGGCTTCAGCACTATTGTCACTGAATGTCATTTTTTGTTTGTTTTCTCCTGACTCTTTGACAGTTTGAAGCACCTTTGGACATATCATTAAGTGACTCAGGATTTAAGTAAGTTGTTCAAAGATTTCTCTTAATTTTCATAGACACTTGTGGGCAGAATGGTTATATTTATGCCTAATCTATTGTATGTAGACAAAAGGATAGTCAGATATTCCATGTCTTCTCTTATCCTTCTGTTTTCTATAGGGAATAGAAACAGCTTTGTCAAGCATGAACACAGGGTGTTTCCATGTAAAGCCAATTGTGCTGATTTTTGTAGCCATTTATTTCTGTAGCTGTCTCTGCCTGTTTTGATCCACGGAAGTACGCTCCTCCCTGTGATTTAATAAAAGGAGTCCGTGAGTCAGAGACAGCACATTTAAATCAAACATAAAAACCCTTTCTGTAGCCATCAAAGAGGTCAATCCACTTGTAGCTCAACTGAATCTATTGAGTTACATCTTTTCTGTTTTCCTTTTTACACAAAAGGTGATTCCCCCCCCACCCCCCCGAGACTATTTTAGTAAAAACATGAAACACTTTTGAAAAACTAGACACAACACCATCAGTGCACAGAAAAAGGAAAGTCTTCTTGAATTAGAGCAATGATAATCCCAAACTATTCGATGTTTTACTAGCTTTATTTCATCATATATAAATGTCCAGTTGCGCTTATTTTGAAACATATGCAGTCCTGTAAATCAGAAAAAAATGGAAGTTGAAAATAATTTTTTTTCTGTTTCCCAGACCATATCCTTTATGTACCATGTATTTTTTTTTTTTAAAAAAATAACTGTTTTATGGAATTTTTAAACAAAAGAATGTATATACTTAAAATTTTCAGGGACATGTCTCTACTTCTATAGGTATATTTTAGTGGTTACTATCCTTTGCAAGGGAAGTGATTTTAAAATGCATCCAACATTTTTTGCCCTTTATGTTCTTAGACTTGTCAACTTTGGCTGTGGTTATCTTCAAGATCAAGAGAAGTTATGCAGATACCCGACTCTGTGCGTTTTTACCAACCGTACAGGTAGAACCAGCGTTGCATTTACCAATTTGTTCAACTATACTTGAGTTCTATACAAAACGTAGTCATTGTTTAGTTGTATGGATCTTGAAAGTGAAATATAATGGCCACATTTTTCTATAAATGATTATTTGGATTTTTATATAACAGATTACTTTCTCCGCTGTAATTTTATAAATCTGCTAGCGATATAAAATAAGCTATATTCAACAGGGTTATTGTTTTAATAGTTATTTTTGTATTATTGTTCGAACAGAGGAGATGGATTCACATTTAATCAGCCTACATTTTCTCTCCTGCTTCATCTTTAACAAATAGCACAGTGATGGAGATGCTTCTTGCATCAGACTTGCTTAATTTCTAGTTGGTCCTTTTTCATATCCTTGAGGATCTCACTAGATTTATTGAGGATCTCACTAAATTTATCGGCAGTTTCTAGAAGATTCTTGAGTAACCTTATAACCATGGTTTTGAACTCTATATCCCGTAGTTTGCTTTCCTCCATTTCTGTCATTTGTGACCTGTTTTTTTGTCTCCTCATTTTGGCTGCTTCCCTGTGTTGATAGAGTGGCTTCATGTGCTAGGTGTCCTATAGGGCCCAGTGGCTCAGCCTCCCCAATTACCTGAGGTGGACACTCTTGGTGCACCCCTTTGTGGGCTTTGTGCACAGTCTTGTTGTAGTCTTGTTGTAGTTAAGCCTTGATTGTTGTAGTTATCACTGGGAGGAATTGACCTCCAGGCCAATTGGCTGTGAGAGTCAGCTGTGTCTGCAGTGGGAGAACTTCTGTGCTGGAGACACCCTTCTGGGGCAAGACTTGCTTCAGTGGGGCTTTGGTGCTCACTCAGTCTGCCCTCTGAGTGTGTCCCTTATGGATCTGAGGAGTTGTAATCTGGATGGTCCCCCTCTGACCACTGGGTACACTGGCTCTTGGATCTCTAAGGAGGTGCTAATTTAGCCTCTGCCTGATGCTCCCCAGCAGGAGCTATGGAGAGATCTGCAGGTTCCTCTTCTTTGTTTGCGGTTTGGAGGTGCCCAGATGAGACCCAGCTGTGAAACAATGCAAGCTGCTGTGGGGCCTTGGGCCTTCTTTTGGAAGTTCTGGGTTTCTCTGGCCCAGCTGCAGTTTGTTAGGTAATTTTCAGATTGCAAAGGGCCAGGCCTTTCATAAGCAAAAGCCTCTGCGCACAGCTTGGGTGGGGCGGGGTCTCAGGGAATCAACAGGGCGGAGCAAACAGCTATGGCTGTTCCTCAGTCCTACCCTAAGAGGCCCCGCGTCTCAGTGTCCCGGTAATCGCTGCAAGCACCTCTGAGAGAAAGCTGCCCTCAAGTTCCGCCTAATGCCAGACAGTCCAGTTTCTCCCCGTATGAGTCTGGGTCCCCAGAGACTCGCCCAGAACTGGAGTTTAGAGCAGTTGGGAGCTTGAGACTCCCTCCCGATTGAAAAAGACAACCGCGTGCGCTTCCGTACCTCTGTACTTTACTTCCGCACCTCCTCTGAGTCTCAGTGTGCTTTTCTCTTTCCTTCTAGTTATAGAATTTCCACTCAGCCAGCCTTCCTGTGGTTCTGGATGGTGTCCGTTTTGTCTTTTAGTTGTATTTTTGAAGTGGTTGTGCGAGGCAGCAATTTCTGGTGTTTACCTCTGCCTCCATCTTGGTTTCTCCCCACCCTGTCACCATTACTTCTTACATTTTGGAAAACCTTTATGCTGAATGTACTGCCCTGAGAAATGAAATTCGAGAACTTCCGAGGAATCAGAGATTAAAACCTGGATGATGGGGGATGCTCCTGAGAGTTGATGGTGGGCGAAAGTGCTGCTGGTCAGGCCACATATGTTCTAAGATTATGAGTTCATATAGATTTTTCTAATAAATCTTCTACGGTGGGAGGGCAAATCAGAGGAAAGAAAATATTCTCATTCCTTTCCTAGCTGATAGTCAACTTTGAAGCTTGACTGAGTGCACTCTTGTGTGTCCTAAGTCAGTGGCTGTGATTCTTTTTCGTGTACCACCCACTGGGAGGTAGTGAGGGGCTAAAAGTGTAAATTCTCCTTCCTGTAAGAGTTGCCCTTCGCAAGTTCCCAGAATTAGGCCTGTGTTTTAGCATTTAGAATTAGAGCCTTTTACAATGAGATAATTTCCCTTGGAAAACTTTGTCCATAATAGCTTTCATTGTCCAAATGGCTTCCCGAAGGCTAGCCAACTTGGAGATGTTATCTTCATCATTGATGAATATTTATTAAACATCTCTGCAGACACCATTAAGAGCATGCTTTGTTTTTTCAAACTGTGACTTTCTCCAACTTGTAGATAGAAGCAAAATTATTCTGGAATAATAATAATAATAACAGCTAATCTTTATCTCACTTAATTCTCACATATGAAGTAGGTTCTATATTTTATTTACAGATGAGGAAACTGAGGCTCAGAATTTAATTAATTTGCCTCAGGCAAATTTAAAAATTACTGATGTCTGGGTCTCACTCCTGGAAATTCTGATATAGTTGATCTAAAGTGAAGCCTGGGCAGAGTGCTTCATGGGACTTTTGTAACTCTCATAATTATTATTTTTGCTTATGCTTTAGTATAGCATTACTTTATTTTTAGTGAATCTGTTGTAATTTTGAAGAAAAGTTATATCATCGTTTACTCGGTAACCATAGTAGAAATTTTATATCTAACAGAATTGTTATTATTTTAATCTGATAAAGTTATTCTTTTTTGTTTAAGTTATTGCAATGAAATGTAACAATAGTCTTAAATGTCATTGAATATAGTCACAAATGCTAAGTATTATAACAGAATCCTTAAATAACCTTATGGGAAATGGACTTTTTTTCCTACCCTGATTCTTTCATAGAGGAATTAGTGGAGTTCATGGAGGAAATAGTGGGTGGTTCATTGCAGCAGAGTAATGATTGAATTCACACATCTAGTTAAACGTTAGCTTGGGGACTAGAACTTTCCAGACTCTTTGTCAAGTTGCTTTCCACCTGGAAAATCTTCTATTTCAGTTAATCACATAAACATTAGCATCAGAATGAACTATCAGTTTAAGCATAATTCCCTCATTTGTAGGTCATTGATGGACTTTATCTAGTTGTCCACATAGCAACAGTTGTTAGAGATGATGTACAGTTTCTCACACATTGAAAGAGGTGGGAAGACCAAGGGTGTCCTGGAGTGGTGGACAATGCAGGTGTACAGGGCTCTCCTTCAGCCTTGGGCCAAGGCCCTCAGTGACGCAAATATGGGTGGGTGGTGGTGGTGGGGGGGCTCTCATATTACATTTGCTCTTATTGCTCCATAAGATTGCCGAGTTCACCTCTTATTCTAGGTAACTAAGAAGACTGGAAACTTCCCATGAAAGGAGATACCTTTTGATATAGTAGGGTCTTTAGCTATTAGCAATGCCTGGAAGGCAAGCTGGATTAGAGGGCAGGGCTGTACGTGTGTATTAGGAGAAACTCATGAAACTTTGCAAACTTCTCTAGTCTCCCATAATTTCATACACAGGAGTGTGTCTCTATTCATACATTGCGTATAGTGTGTGCTGAGTAATGGTTGAATTGAAATTTCTTAGCAACTTGTTATAGATCATTTCTAGAGTTTGGGAATAATCTAGGAGGTAAATTGAGACAAGGCATCAAAAGGAATATAAGTAAGGTTAAGTGGTTTAGGAATCTTTTTGTTTATGATTCTACTAAATACCTTCTAATTTCTAGGAAGTTTATGTGTGTGCTACAGCCCGAAGTTTGACTCTTGGGAACAAATCACGTATTCAGTGTTTTACTTTCATAAAGGTACTTTTCATTTACTTTGTGTTTTACTTTCACATAATCGCTTTTTCCAAATAGTAGCAAATTTGATAGATTTTAGTATCATTGAGTACATTCTATACCAGTATACCTATATAATACGTTTCCTGAAGAAATTCACTGATGAATATTAAGTTAGCTAAATATTTTTATATATTATATGCTTTTTATCCTGACCAATATATTTTTCTTGGTCTGTAGGTCAATCCTAATGAACATATTTTTCCAAAGTGTGTTTGTTTGCTTTTCTGTTATTACTAGTTGGAAAATGTTGGTAGATTTAACTTACAAACATACCTAAGGTTTTAGTTAAAAGCTTCCATGATCTCAGACATTAACAGGTCTAAAACCTAAGATATTTCATTTCACATATCTGTTATCCCCAAAATTGATATGTCAACAGCTAGCCTAGAGAGCAGGAGTAAAATGTGCAACCTCTTCCAGTTCTGTCATTGCTCACAGTGTGTCCTTTAATAGTTTTAGTCTGAACAATGCTAAGGAGTATTTATCTTGCTTATTTAGACCCTTAAACATTGGTTTTTATGTAGTATATACTGTAGGTGAAGTTAAAAAATTTTAAAGATGGATTTTTTCCCCCAAAATTGAAAAAATATTATGCCAGGCCACACCAGTTTATTATTCTGCAAGTGGGCCTAATATTTCTTTCAGAAGTTAGAGATCAAGGCAAGAAAGTTTAATAACTTACTTGATAATGAAGAAAATGAAAGTCCCTTCAGAACTAGACATATATACATGCTTTACTAGTGTAGTATAAGGTTAGTATGTTGTGGAAAGTTTTCACAAATTTTTCTTTTTTAAAAAAAAATTCTTTATTAGTTAAGGTATTACAAATGTGTCCTCATCCCCCCATTAAACCCCCATCCTCCCCCCCCCCCGCCCCCGCCCCACTCATGCTCTCATCCCCCTGTTGTCCATGTCCATTGGTTTGGCTTACATGCATACATACAAGTCCTTTGGTTGATCTCTTCCCCTTGCCCCTCCCTCCCCTACTTTCCCTCTGGGGATTAATTGTCTGATCGCTGTTTCACACATTTTTCTAATGATTAATGATTAAAACCAGTAAATATGCTCCAGCCGGTTTGGCTCAATGGATAGAGTGTTGGACTGAAAGGTCCTGGGTTTGATTCCAGTCAAGGGCACATACCTGGGTTGCGGGCTTGATCCCTAGTACAGGGTGTGCAGGAGGCAGCCGATCAATGATTCCCTCTCATCATTGATGTTTTTTATCTCTCCTTCTCTCTCTTCCTCTCTGAAATCAATAAAAATATATTAAAACAACAACAAAAAAAACCACACACTAAAAAACAAGTAAATAAAACTTTTCTGAGATTAAGAGGAGTTAGAAAGTGGAAAGTGAAGCCTAAAACACTTAAGTTTAGTAGATAGCCTAATCCAATCTACCTCGAAGTGGTATTCCAAAATGACTCAGGGAAGTCTCAGAGGGTCTTAATGACTTCAGGAGTGTGGAGTGACCCTTGAGGCACCAGGGCCAGCGAGCCAGCTGGTCTCCTCCATCTCTTGGATCCTTAAGTAGATTCCTTCGGATCATTCCCTCCCAGCACAACCTACCTGTTAAGGTCTGAGGTTGTAATAAGCCCAGAACAACTACTGGAATGTGACTGCACTCACGTCACCTACCCTTAATGCTGCCTTTGGAAGAAGGATGGGAACCATGAAGTCTAGAAGTCAAAGCTGCTTGCTTTATGTGTCACAGGCAATAAAGTTTAGAGTATTACAAAGACTCACTGCCTTAGGTGGCATTCCAGCTCTTCGTTTCTCAATGTGTTCTCTCTCCACAGGGTACAGCAAGACCTTTACTGCTGCTCTTGGGAGTTCGCACTCACGGGTGACAAAGGGCATTACTTTCCTTAACCTTGGTGAGTGAGAGAGAGCCATCCTTCCAGTGCATGTTATGCCCCCACCTCTCCATATCATTTTCTTCTCTGTCCATCCCATCTTCTCATGCCTCTTTGGGACTTAGATTGCAATGACAGTCACTGTCCTTTTTGAAATCTGATAGGAGAAGGTTTTCTAGGGAAGCACCCAACTCCATCAGCCTTTATGGGGGTCTGAGGTGAGCATGCATTTCTCTTTTTAGAGAACCCGCACTGTGAGCTTTCTCATGTTTGCAGTAGCAATCATAAAAGCCATTTTGTTAGAGTAAAATGATGACAGTGAATGAGCTGTTCCCTAAAAGCCCCTGAGCAATAATATATCATGTTGGCCCTTGATTCTAGAGAGGACAAAGGCATTTGGGAAATTGTCCATTCCCTGTTGCTAATTGCTAAAAGCTTCCAAGTCCCACAAATGATTAATGGATCCGCTTAAGTGAGTTGTTTTTCACTGAGTAAATATGGTAAGTGGAACTTGAGTTCTACTAAGGGAATCTATGAAGAAGAAAATAAAGAAGGGGTTTATTGTTTCTACTGGGAAAGTGGCTTTTCCATGCTAATTGGTATATGGGGCACAAACAGGTTAGCACAGAACTGTTGCTTGCCTACATATGGGACATGGCATAATATTTAAAAAGGAAAAGCTGCCCTACCTTTTGGCTCAGTGGATAGAGTGTCAGCCTGCGGACTGAAGGATCCCAGGTTTGACTCAGGTCAAGGGCACCTCGTGCCTTGGCTGCATGCTTGATCTAACCGGGCACGTTCAAAAGGCAACCAATTGATATGTCTCTCTCACATAGCTGTTTCTCTCTCTCTGTCTCTCCCCACCCTTCCACTCTCTTTAAAAATCAATGGAAAAATATCCTTGGGTGAGAATTAACAAAACAAACCAACAAAAAGGTGGGGGGGAGCTACTGTCATGACAAAGGTTTAGGAAGGTGTGATGCGAGAGAAGCGGGCAAAGTGAGAACCAAAATGACAAGAATGTTCATAAAAAGATTTTTATTTTGAGTAATACTATTGGTGAGGTAAGACATCTTATGCTATGTTGGCCGGTATGTGGCAGATCTTATGAGCTCTGAACCTGTGGGAAATGGCCTTAGAGAGGCCTGCTGCTGCTGCTTCCTGTGGTAAGAGAGATAAATATAAGATTTCTTGGGACTAGGACTTGATTCTTATCAGCATCCCATCTAAAGAGCAATGCAGGGAAACTTTCCACTAAAAAAGCATCAAACAGACCCCAACTTAGCATTTTGTGAGGTCAAAGGTATTCTCCCCGCCCACCCCCCACCCCTTTTTTTTTCTTTATACCCTGGGAATGACTCTTGAAAAGGGCAGGCATGATTTAATCAATGGTCTTCAGAATGTGGAGAAGGCAGAAATACTAGAGCTTTGTGAAAAGAGGCTGGCTTACATAGGTTATCTTTCCTTCGTAAACACATTTTATAGGCTCAAAATTGTACTTGACTAAAACTGTTCTAGAGGTAATTTTTATGACAACAATATTGCTTTTTTGAGTGATGTACTTTTTGCTGTCAATTGCATGCAATTTCCCTAAATTGCCACTGTGTTAAAAGGGCTTATATTGATTGAAATTTTAAAAAATAGAGTTTAGGGGAAATTTTCAATGAATTCCTAAGCACCACTATATAAGCAATATGTTTATAAATAAAAAGCTTCCATTTAAAAAAATGAATACTATATGCTATTTTACTTAAGTTATCTTGACTATGACAATAATTTTCCTTAGTGATGATAATCAAATTGAGGCTCAGAAAGGCTGAGATGTATATCCAGGCTTCTTCTTTTTTTTAAAAAAATGTTTTTAATGATTTCAGAGAGAGGAAGAGAGAGGGAGAGATAGAAACATTGATCAGTCGCCTTCTGCAGGCCCCCTACTAGGGATTGAGCCTGCAACTCGGGCATGCACCCTGACCGGGAATGGAACCAGTGGTCTCCTGGTGCATGGGACAGTGCTCAACCAACTGAGCTACACCGGCTGGACTGCCCAGGCTTCTTTTAGTATCTCTTATCAGGGGCACTATTATGGTTTATTTCTTTTGAAAACAGTCACCATAAATTTTGGGTTTAAAACAACAAAACATTCTCTTACGGTTCTGAAGGTCAGGATGCTGAAATGAGCCTTGAGGAGCTAAAATCAACATGTGGACTTAAATGGCTCTTTCTGGAGATGCCAGGAAGAAAGGGTTCTTTGCCCCCTACAGCATCTATCCCAGCTGTGGGCAAACTACGGCCCACGGGCCGGATCCGGCCCGTTTGAAATGAATAAAACTAAAAAAAAAAAAAAAAGACCGTACCCTTTTATGTAATGATGTTTACTTTGAATTTATATTAGTTCACACAAACACTCCATCCATGCTTTTGTTCCGGCCCTCCGGTCCAGTTTAAGAACCCCTTGTGGCCCTTGAGTCAAAAAGTTTGCCCACCCCTGAGAGGCTAGCATTTCTTGGCTTGTGACCACATCATTTCAATCTCTTTCATCACATGATCTCTTCTGTAGTCAGATCTTCCTCTTATGAAGATTATACTGATTATACATTTATGATTATACTGGGTCCACTGGGTAATCCAGGATACTGTCTCCATCTCAAGATCCTTAATCACATCTACAGGATCCCTTTTATCCCTTAAGGTAACATATTTGTAGGCTCTGGTGATTAGCACCTGAACATTTGGAGGCCAGCTTACCACAGATACTATTGTTATTTTTGGTGAGACAGTAATTCTTTGTGTGAGAGTGTCCTGCACATTGAGCGATTTAACATCCCACTCACCAAATGGCAGTAGGAATGAATCCCCCTGCACCCCAATGATTGTGACAACCCTAAACACCTTCAGATATTTCCAAATGCCCCCTCTCCCAGGGACATCCTAATGAACCGGTTAGCGTAGGTCATTTGATGCCTAAACCCTTACCACTGGACCCTACTATATTATTATTTATGTTTTTCTCCTTAAGGTTTGCCATAATTATATTATTGCAACCATTTGTGCTAAGTATTTTAGCTTCACTGGATCCATGGTGACTGGTTAGAGTTTTACATCTTCTTTCCTTTCCTTTGCATAGAATGCCTTCTATGCAAATGATTAGCACATATTTACTTGCTTCTTTGGGAAATAAGATTCCAGCTGGCTCACTTGTAATTTAAATGTTTCTTCTGCATAATATTCACTACAGTCATGTGAATTTCTGTTTTCCTAAGATTCTAGAGAAAATATTGGTATTTCTACCCTCCCATTCTCCAGAAATGTACTTTTACACTTTGACTCAATCTGCATACAAATGTTCTTGGTACAAAAATATCTAGTGCAAGGACCATGAAGGTGTGAATTCTATAGAGGCAGTGAGCTATGCAAAGAAATAAACTAGTACTTCATAATGTGTCAGATGCCTGCAGAGATTGTTTTGATGAATATCAATTTAAAGATTCTCTGAACAAAATAATGATGATGAGGACAGCGATAAGCATGACTATGATGATGGTGATGATAAGTGGGTAAACATGGGAAATGAAATCTTAGAACTTCCCCAAACTGGCAGAAACTTTGAAGGAAATTCCCATGATAAGCTATTTCCAATTTATCAGATTAAGAAATAATTCATGTTGCTTAATTTTTTTCTTTTCTTTTATTAAAAATTTTTTTCTATTTTATTTTGCTCCCAAAGATCATTTAGAATTATATAAAGCCATAATTCACTTAGAAACAAAACTATAGATCAAATTAAGATAACCATAGCTAAAGGTCTGAGTAAAATTAGCCACAGATAGAAATAAATGAGAGCTGGCTGTAAGATGGGATGTACTGACAGCAGACAGCTTATTACCACATTGACCAAACCTTTTGTTTTAAGAGATTAAAAAAAAAAAAAAAGGAATACCGTGATGTCCTGGGCTTTATCTGTACCTGTACAGCTTTTACCACATGTAGATGACTTCCGTCTTTCTCTTCTACAGACTATTACGTGGCTGTTTACTTACCTGGTCATTTCTTTCATCTACTTAATATTCAGCATCCAGACCTGATCTGCCACAGTCTGTTTTTGACAGGTACGGCTGAAGATTTCCCCTCAACATGATCCGTTTGAATTTGTTGACTTGAATGTTTATGTTTGGGTAAGAAAGGTTCCTTTTACTTGCTGATCTTTTTGTTTTTTGGCCAGGAAACAATGAAGGGATGGATATGCTACCTCATGGACCACTGCAGTCACTGTTGGGGTCCCTGGTGCTGGATTGGTGTTCGGGGAAGCTCTACAGAGCATCCCTCAACCAGTCCTATTTGTTAGGGCTCCTGTGGGACACACGGCCAGACTGTGAGAAGATGGCCGTGTTGCACTGCGTGCTCTCATGTGGCCGAGACCCGGAGTTTCTGGAAGCCCAGGTGGGGACATAGCTTAAGTTTAAACATTGGCAAATAGACAGTATCAGATGTATTTATTTAGTGGTTGGACATGAACAGAAGCTATGTTTATTTGTTAGCAATTGATCAAGGTTTATGTCTTCATCCTGACTTGAATATATTTTTCTCTTGTGCTCTTTTTTAATGGATCCCAATCAGACCTTAGAGGGTGCCGTCTGTTCTTTTGACTCCTCTTTTATTGATATTGTGAATGTATGTGTAGCTACATCAGTAACATTCTAAGGAAGTGCTCCGTAAATAATGAGTTTCTCAAATATCTACTTTTCACCTGTTCTATATTTGGAGTATATTGCCAAATGGACTAAACTCTGGTGGCATATATTTTATTGAAAATTACATTTAAATTTCACATAATAGTTTACAAAGCACCTTTACACATTCTGTCATTAAATTTTACAGTTCCTGCGAAGTCAGAGACTTAATTGGCACCAATGGGTGGTTGGTTAATTGAAAAACAGATATCTTAAACATTTTATTTTAACCTAAAGCAAATGAAAGTACATTTATTCACCTATCTTCTGATGTAAATGAAAGCCCTTTATTTGACTGTCAGCTAATTGAAGTTCAAAATCATTTGTCTTACATTACACACACTAGTAATGTGTTGTCTCTTATTCCTGTTCTTTTTTTTCTTTTTCTTTTCCTAAGGAGAGCAATAATTTAAAAGCAATGTGTTTATGTAGGGCATTTTTTCCCCCTCAGTCTTTTATAGTCGTCTCACCTATACCTCGTTTTTTAGTAAGTGTTTTAGAGTCTTTCCAACACAACCAACTTTTGTTGACCCAACAACACTCTTTGCATCCATGGTTTGATTGTCTATGGTAATAGTTTGTTTAATTAGTTGTGAAAATAAATACAATGAACAGGAATAGGTTTGGAAAAAACGAATTATTGGTAGGAATAGAACCATGAGAGTAAATTCTAAGGTAGAGAACGAGGGGCTTTCTTCCTCTAGCTGACGAGGATGGTTTTAGAGACGATGGGAGAGCTGCCGACCACAGGATATCCCTCCTCCCTCCCCTCAGAGGACAGCACATGCTATTAAATCGCGTGGCAATGTTCCGACTGATGACTGAGCTGGAAGTCAGACCCAGCTCTGCTGCCTCCAGCTCAGTGGGTTTGTTTACTCCTTTATCCCGCAGCTCTTCCCGCTGGCTCCTTGCTAGAATATGACCTCCTCTAGCAAAAACAAACACTGGGCATTGGGTGCAGGAAGGTTTATTTGGATTCCAGCCAAGGGCACTTATTAAAAAGACATGTAAAAAGGATCTCATTTATAATATCGTTTTACCTACACAGGCTTCCATTATGTGTCATGTCTAGTCTAGTCTAGTCTAGTCTAGTCTAGAATAGTATAGAAATAAGTATATTCTTAGGCAATTCCAAAATAGATATAAGTTTCATATATATTTTATACTTCTTTGGTGGTGGGGGCAGGGTGCAGATTTTAATATTAACAGAATTGTCTTCTTACTTTTTAAAGATTATTCAATGGATTTCTGAGAACATCTCTGCCTACCATTCATTTGACCCCATTCAGGAATTTATAATTGGTAGGTGTTGCTCACATTTTAAGTCGGATCCTTGACCCTTTTGCCTGAGGGAAAATACTACACTGATAATGCCTCAACCTGTCAAAATGCTGGTTATAGCTTCCCCACCCCCTCTATTATAGTCAGCAGCTAATTAAATTTCATTCTTTTGTGGTTTTGTGAGAAGCTGTGGCTGTTCAGAGGCTGATGAGATAAAAGATATGATTATGATTCTATAACCTCATCAGTGATTTTTTTTTCAATAAAATGTAGCATTTGTTTTGTGTTGGCTGGTTTGATATAAAGTGGTATAATGCCATTTGGATAAATATTAGTGCCTAATTTTTTAAAGCAATTCCTACTTTTATTTATTTTTAAAAATTGATTTGGGGGGGTGAGAGGGGGGAGAGAGAGAGAGAGAGAGAGAGAGAGAGAGAGAGAGAGAGAGAGAGAGAAAGAGAAAGAGAAAGAAAGAGAAACCCTTTAGTACACAGGCCTATGCTCCAACCACCGGAGCCACACCAGCCAGGATGTCAAATAATTGTTAAAAAATTTATTGTCATTGTCAAAAGCAGAATCTGAACATTCTAATCAGTAGATAAAATTATAATGGTTAATGTTTAGAGGATGACAACTGTTGCTGGTTTGCTCATTTTGGCAAATGACAGTGTCTACTGCCTGATTATTAAACCATGTCTATTTTTTTCCTTTCAAAAACCTGCTCAGCGTCTTCATATTGGAGCATATACCCAGAGACAAGTAACATGGATAAACTTTTGCCATATTCCTCAGTGCTCACTTGGAATACAGTAAGTTAGAGTTTTTGTGTTCCTTATGTAATTGAAATTAATTCACAGTTGTGGGTCAGTTGTAGGGCATTCCTGTCACAGTGACTAAGGCTGTGATTTCATTTTGATTTTGACTGATAAGGAACTGAATTGGCATTTTCTGGCAGAAAAATAATACTTACTGTTGGCCAAAGGTATTTATAAAACAGGAGAATTGAGGAGAAGGCAGAGGATATTTGTTATTCTCCCCACTACCAAACAGACCTAAACCTTTATCATCTTCAAAAGGTATCTTAATTTGATTAGCATCTAGGGTGGATTAAAACATTTCTTGGGGTTTTATAAACAAGGAACATTGGACCACTGCTGTTAGTCTGAGTGGTTCTCTTTACTTAGCAGATTAGCACCTCCTTGACCTTGCAAGGCAAATGTGTGGTAACGCTAGAGCTTTACAATCAGTAAGTTGGTAACCTTGAGCAAACTCACTCCCTGAGCCTTTTCTTCCTGTTGGTGCCGGCTGCCTCCTTTTAATTCGGGAGCGCTGAGCTAGAGCATGGTTCACTTTCTCTTGAACGAGGTGCAATGAACTGCACTTGGCTGGATGGGAAGGTGCAAAGCAAGCACTGGCTTCCCCCGAAAAAGGTTCTGGTTCTGCTTTCTCTCCTTTCCTATGTAGATGCCAGCCTGCATGCTTAGCCAGTCTTGAGGCAGGGAGTTCGGATCAGAAAGGCATTTAGAGAAATAAATTCAATTCTGGAAATAGACCTAGGAAAAGATGCTCCCGGATAACCTGTGGCCCTTTCCGTTTTGTACGGAGACTACTTAAACATCGTCCTGAAGAAAGACACCTTAGGTGTGTTCGATTAAGATCTCAATTTTTGGTATGTGCAATGGCAGTGTTTTCCTCAAGGCCCTCTGTTCTTGTCTTTAGCTGTTAGTTATGAAATGTCCATGCCCCACTGTAGAATTATAAGGGGGCGACCTGAGCTTATGCCAGGTCCGCCCTGTTTTCGTTAAGAGCCCTTGTGAATACACATGCAGACGTTGTGGTAATGTGGCAGGAAGTTTGCAGGGTACGCCACCCCGTCAGGAAATGCACATCTCGGCTTCTTCCGCTCAGCACCCATCGCTCTCTCTTGCTGTCCTGCCCTGTCAGGTTCAGTGTTGGAGGCAGGGTCAGGACCTGGAGTTCTCAGGGTTGTGTTTTAAGATGGAGCACATCAGCCTGACAGGCGAGTCCTCACTTTTGCATTTCTCATGGCTTCGTGCGGCAGAGGAGCTGCTGTGGCCATGTAAAGTGACATCCTACAAGAAGCACAATGTAAAAAACCCCCAAGTTATAACCCCCTGTGTACTCAGCTTATTTTAGGGTTTGCCATGTTGCTTTAAGGTTCTTGTGGTTAAAGTAGGTTACCTTGAAGGTCTCTTCGATCCTGAAATTTTAAAAATCTATGCTTCTCCTTAGCAATGATGCAGATATTTTTTTTCTTTCTCTAACCCGCAAATGCTCTCATTGCTGCACCCTTAATAAGTACTTGGCACAATAGAAAACATTAATTTCACACTTCTGTATGGAGGCAGATTATTTTTGTGAAATAATTGAATTGGATTTTTTTAAAGATGCTGTTGTGCCCAGATTTCAAGGTTCCCAGGACCCCCAGGGAGCCCGTCAGTCCGATGCAAAAGCAAAGAGTCCTTCATTTCGAACCTAGGTTTGGCTCCCCGACCACACTCACCGATGCAACGGTAGCCCAGTGGCCGAGAGAGCGAGGCCTGATGGGATTGTGGGTTTTATAGTAAGGGCAGGGGAGGGGACTGTGGGCCCCGCCGATTGGCCAGGCGCGAGTCGGGTCTTGTTACACAGGATGTGGTCATCTCTATGGCGCGTACGTCCCTTGATTGTCATTGGTTAGTTTAAAGAAATCCTGGGCGTGGCCAGCAGGGGCCTGGGCTTCCGGGAAGAAGGCACTCTCCTGAGCACATGGCGGCCGCCCCAAAACTGGAGGACTCAGGGCAAGATGGAGGGCACAGGCAGTGCTAGCCCCCCCCCCCCCCCCCCAGGGCGAGCTGAGCCCAGGCTCCAGGGGCCAGTCTGGTTGCTGGGGGTCCAGCAGATCGACCAGTTCCAGCCCAGACAGGAAGTCCACGTCCTCCATCTCGTTCCAGGGGGGCGCCGGCGATCGCCTCCTCCTCCATCTCCTCGGGCGAGGGCACGTGCCCCGCCCCCGCCGCCGCTGCTGCCGCGTGGGTCCGGTCCGGGGGTGGCAGGCGGGTGGCAGCCTGCGCCGGGCTCCCGCCGTGGGCTGGGGAGTCGGTGCCCGAGGCCGCCAGCAGCGTGGTCAGGCCCCCGCGACGACTCGCCCTTTCAGATACCAGATAATAGGGTGCTCTTACACATTGGTAACCCTAAATTATGCTATGCAAACAATTAGCCTTGCTATACCTATTTTAAGGTGTTATTTATAACCTAAAGCTGTAGCGACACTTTAATGCTTTTTTTTGAAGTGTCCTATGTTGTAAAGCACACAGAAGATTCTTTTCACAGGCTTTTTATTCTCGCAGTGGAGAACTCAGTTGCTTGACTGTTCTAGAAATTTCTCTATCCCTGCAATCCCTTTCTAAACCCAGTATAACCCAGGACATTTAAGTCCTATCCAAATATCAGATTTTATTTCTACTTAACACCTTCTGAATTATATTCTCATGTATTATGTACTTTTTTTTTTTTTGAAATGGAAGATGAATTGACTAATTGAGAGGCTGATATGCATAATTCATACAGAAACACATTTTGAAAATAACAGTGAGTAGAAGGCAATTTTGGAAGTTTATCCTCTTATGGTCAGTGTCTGTTTTAATGCCCACTTGTCAGCAGGAGGTTATAATTGGGACTTCCTGAGATGAAGTGCACACGCTTCTCAGTTGCCATGGTGATAGCGTTGCGCCAACTGTATAGGGGTCTCTTAGCTCTGAAATTATGGTGGAGGGTGAGGTGCAGAAAACTTTTCTACGGCAGTCATACAAGGATCCAGTTAATCTTGGTTCCTTCTAGTGAGTTGGAACCAACTGCAGTGCATTTAAATGAAAGAGGAGGAGCAGGAGGATTATAAAACCTGGAACATGCACCCCTTATTATTACACTGGTAGTGCAAATGGAAACATGCAAACCATATACTGTTTGCTCTGTTTATTCATCTTCTTCTTTCCTTTAGACACTGTCAACTATTAAAATCATAACGTTAAGGAGTCTTTTTCTTCCTGAGGCAAGAGATAGGCTGTGTTCACTGTTATTTATAAACTCCGGGGTTTATTTAAAGTAGAGGTTAGCAAACTGGACGCTGCCCTCGGCTTCTGTCTGTGCAGGAGACCTTTCCTGAGGGCTTGAGCTTGTGGCCGTTGACATCAGTTGACATTGTGTGTCTGTTTGGCCCCCACTGCAGGAAATTCCTGGAATAAGCCTTGTGACGGAAGAGATCACGTTGCCTCTGATGAAGGTGAGTCCACACAGCCAGAGACTTTCAGGCGCAGCCGTGCCCGGCTTCCTTGCTGCGGCCACACTGGAGTCACACCTCGTCACACCACCACGGCCCGAGTATAATGGCAGTTCCAGAGGGATTGTGAACTGTCAGAGGAGGAGGGGATAAAGGTTAGAGCCTTTATCCTTCCTAAGTGGTTGAGTAGCCACGGAGAAGGATGTTATGGCATTCTTAGGAATGTTCTTCGAACAGGGAAGTTTTCTGGATAGAGAATTACAGGGCTCATTGTAAACCATATAGAACTAGTGCTTTATACTGTGCCTTAAACCCATCAGCTCTGGTAAATTATCTTATAGGGCCTGGTAGCTGTTTTTTTACTTCATTTGTGCTGTCACCCCCTCATAACATACACACACACACACACACACACACACACACACACACAAACACATACACAAACACACACACACACGACCCTAAAACCATTAAGTAACCTGGCTGGGATTATTTCCTTTCACTTCTAAGAACAGCTTTTCTGTTTCTGCAGTGGCTGTCTGTGGCCTCGCTCAAGCTGCTGCACCCCTCCTTCCTGCCCTCAGAGGGTGAGGTAGCTATTAGTGTCTTTCTGTAGTCTGGTGGTTTCAGAAGACTGTCTGAATACAATAGGGAGAATGGGGTGGGTGGGTGAGTAGTAGCGAATGCATATGTAGTTAAGAACTGGGGAGTATTTTAGTACAGTTTCCTTGAAGCTCCTTTGTTGGTTTTGGCACTGCCTCCTGTTAATTATAGACTGGTGTGTACTGGGAACTCTCAACTGTTGGCAGCAGGCAGCTCAGTGTGCAACTGCCTTTTCTTTACATTTGATTCTTTTGGATCCATGAATAGCCTGCCAGGCCTGGGCAGCTGGGGGAAAGCCGTGGGTGGTTGAGGTCACAGAGATGCACTGGGGATGAGGGCTGGGGATGGGGGGTGGGGGATGGCGGCGGGGGGTGGGGTGAGGGGGGTGGGGCTCAGGGGTCTACTGCTGGGACTGGCCTTGGGCTCAGGAGAAGATGGTCCTGGGTTTGGCGTGGCCAGTTCCCTCACCCCCACCCCAATCACTCAGCCTGGAAGACTAATCAGTACCTTCTGGTTCACAGGACACCTGGCCCTGATATCTCTCATTTGTTTCTCCATCTCTGCTTGAATGATACTATCACTGAATGCTGCTGCCTTTGGCCAACTTTTTCTACCCCAAGTTCCAGCTTAATTATATTGTGAGGGACCTTGTTGCGGTGACACATCCCACCCTCTGTGCCTCCCTCCCAGCCCCTGTTATAAGACTGTTCTTGCCACGCTCACCTGACAGCAGTTGGCTCTGAGCACCTACGACCTGAATCCTAAGCGACCTTTGAAAGCGTGCTTGCAGCCAGACTTTCCGTGAGGCCCAAGGGACCCCCTGTTTACTCTGACCCACAGTTGCTTCTGTTCTCCTTGGTGTGACTGCCCTGATAAGGAGTCGGGAGAGGGAAGGAAAAATGCAACTGGGTATGTGCTTTCCTCCTGCTTTCTCTGCAGATAATTTTAGTTTGAAGTGGAGCACTTTACAGACGTTTCATATACAGGGGTGGGTAAAAGTAGGTTTACAGTTATAATACAAATAAATAAGACAATGATTAATAAATAATAATAAAGAATAAACTTTCACGTATTCAAACTGTAAATGTGCTTTTGCCCCTATGAACATGTTAGGATACATAAACCAGTTGAATTAGAGGATTGCCACCCGAAAGACAACAGGCTTCCTTACTTTATAAAATTACTTTCAAAAGAATTTTAAAAAGGAAAAAAGGGGTAGATTGAAACAAGCCTCATCCTAGAAGGGATGCCATCGAGAGCAGTTTCCTAGGATGGTTTTATCCCTGCTTAAAGCATGGCTTTCTCCAGGGAAGCGGCAACTTTTGAAAAAGGCTAAAAATCATTCTTGATTTTATAATGACAAGAGAAGCTGGTAAGACTGTCCTGCCTCAGGAAGCATGTACTAGTACAGATTAAAAAAAGGAAGAGTAACTTGAAAATAAAGATAAAAGTTGAAAGAGCATCCCAAAGATGGAGAAATGTAGTATTTTTACCCAAGTATTTTTTAAGCCAGACATCTTTAGTTTCATTTTATAAAAAATGGAAGCCTTTTATCTCATCATTTGTTTAGAGGTTATTAACTACTTGACCCAGAGACTGGCCCGCCTACGACCACTCAGGAGTGAGGGTGTGGCTGTAAGTGTCGATCAGGTGTCTGAAGGCCGCTGGGCAATTGGGAGAAGAGTAGCTGACGGTTCCATTTAGACTTGTTTATTTAATTATGCCTCTTTTCTTAAAAAGTTTAAAAATACTGTTTTAACTGGGCAGAGCATGAGTATAATGAATTGCTTAGTGAAACACCATGACACCCTTTCCTTGACCTTCCCAACACCGACAACCACCATCGCTTAAATCAGTGGTTCTCAACCTTCTGGCCCTTTAAATACAGTTCCTCATGTGGTGACCCAACCATAAAATTATTTTCGTTGCTACTTCATAACGGTAATGTTGCTACTGTTATGAGTCGTCATGTAAATATCTGATATGCAGGATGGTCTTAGGCGACCCCTGTGAAAGGGTCGTTCGACCGCCAATGGGGTCGCGACCCACAGGTTGAGAACCGCTGGCTTAAATGAAAAGTTTGTTAGAGATCCACTGATGCAGTCACAGTGTAACAGCTGATTATCTTTTTAAAAGCCAGAGCCACAACGAAATGGCACTTTATTTAATTTATTTTTAAAAAATGTAATACTAGGGCTGTGCCATACTTTATTTAATTAATATTACTACTGATAGTATTTGAGTTGTTTCTGCCCTTTTTCAAACACACAATATTTCCATGAGCTTTGGTGATAAAGGTTTTAGCGCACGTGTGTGAGATTACCAACAGGGCCAGGTCTTAAAGTAGGATTGCCACGGTTTGTGATTCTGACAGATGTGTCCAGATTCCCCATGGAGCTTGTCACACGTCACTGTGATTATCAGTGGAAGACACCTTTAAAGCCGGGTTCCATCCCTCATGGGGGTGCTTGCAGGAGGTGGCAGATCCTTGTGTCTCTCTCACATCGACGTTTCTCTCTCTCTCTCTTTTTCCCGTTCTGTCCCCCTCTCTCTTCTTCTCCCTTTCCCCCCCTCTCCCTTTCCTCAACATTCAATAGACTTTGCCTGGCGCTGATGCACCAGCAGCCACAGCCACGGTTCAGCCCTGTGGCCCTGCGGCCCTGGGACATCTTGCTCCACCATGTACCACCATGCCCCACAGCTGACAGTTTTTAAAAATGAGAATTGTTGCTTTGATAAAAATGTAGCTTTATCAGAAATGTCCATTGGTTATGTGGGAAATATTAATTTTTCAAAGTTCATTTTATACTTATGTGATATTGTGTTATAACTAGAAATATATATTTGGTCTTCTAGACATATCCATAGTTCCTGGCACAGAGCTCCTAAAATCCTTATCATTTCCTAAGTGATAAGCATTACAGGGACGTCTTTTGTTATGATAGTTAAGTTGTTAGTTAACTGTCATAGTTAACTATAGTTAGTGTTTGTTCCCAGTTTCTGAAATGGCACCTCAGCAGGAAGGTGAGAGTGTCTTTTGTTATTTATAACCAGCCCCTTTCAACCACATCTGAGATGACCTTATTGAGGTGCTTTTGAAAAGCATCTAAGGTTGGGACTGTGGCCCTGAGAAGCAGCCAGGTGATTAGAGGGTTGGCACGTTTAGCCCCACCGCACTCCCCACCTCCTGAGGTGAGAGTGGCTAGAGATTGAGTTCCATCACCAATGGCGAATGATTCACCCAGCCATGCCTTTATAGGGGAGCCTCCGTGAAGACTCCTAAAGAACGAATATGGAGCGCTTCTGGGCTGGGTGAGCATGTGGAGGAGCAGGGAGGGTGGTGTGCCTGGAGAGGGCATAGAAGCTCATAGCCCCTTTCCACATGCCTTGCCCTTTGCATCTCTTCCATCTGGCCCTTCCTGAATTGTGTCTTTTTATAATAAGGAACCTGTTTTCCTGAATTCTGTGAACAACTGTTGCAGATTATCAAACCCAAGGAGGAGGTTCTGGAAACCTTCGACTTACAGACCAGCAGTTAGAAGCACAGGTGACAACTTGGACTTGCAATTGGCATCTGAAGAAGGGGACATTTTTATGGGACAGAGCCCTTAACCTGTGGGATCTAACACTGTCTCTAGGTAGATAATGTCAAAATTAAGTTCAATGGTCAGACACCTAACTGATGTTAGAGAACTGATGGGTGTGGGGAAAAACCCTCACATATTTGGTGACCAGAAGTGAAGTATTCTGTGAGTAGACTGTAGTAGAGAGAGAAAAAAAAGAATTTTTCCTATACAGCATTTCTGGACAGTGAGCTATGGCGAGTAAAATTAATATTGTAAAACAATTTTATGAAACACTACTTACTAAAAACAGAGCACCAAGCTGGTAGATCCACTCCTGTCATGTCTGTAGAGATGTGACAGCTTACTTCTCCTATGATGCAATTGAAGAACACACCCAGGATCAAGGATTCCTGTTTTTGTTTCTCTCCTACTAGTCACTAGGCTGTGCTGCTGCTCTTATTCAGAATTTTGGTTGGAGTCATAATGTTTCATTCTTAAGGCTGACAGGAGGGAAATACCTTATTGGCGTTCTCAGGGTACATGCTGATTTTGAGATGGAATAATTTAGAGCCATATTTAGTGATTACATTAAAATAAAACCTATGAAAATGGCTAAGAGGACTTCACCCAACTAAGAAGAGATCTCTTTGTTACTAGATGTTAGGAAAAGGAGGAAGTCCATTTATAAATAGGAGAACTTGCACTTGCAACATGCAATCCCCTTAACAGGAAGCCTCAGTGAAACTGAGTCCAAGCTCGTACCACTCTCTGCCCAGCAGCCAATAAGTTGAGTGACAAGGTGTTGAGGCAAGAAAAGGTGACTTTATTCAGAAAGCCAGCAAGCCGAGAATATGGCGGACTAGCATCCTAAAGAACCATCCTGAGAAAGTACAGAATTCAGGCTTCTTTTATATCAAGGGAGGGGAAATGGTAGGGGCAAGAGGTGACAGAGGATGACAGACATCTGGGCACCAGCAGGGGTCCGAGGAAGATTGCGAAACTTCTTTGTTCTTAGCCTATTCACTCTAGTTGATGTGAGTTCAGTCATGAGGTTCCTGCAAATCCTTGATAAACAATTATTATTTTTGTGCATAGTTCCCTTATCTCCTCAGGAAAGGCATTTTTTGGTAAGGGGCTGACTGTTTTGCAAAATGCAAGGTGCAAGTGGCATACCTCTAATGATTAGCATGTCTATATGCAACACCAAGCAGAAGCTGTTAGCCGGAAAGCCATGGGAACAACACAGGCTTGAACAAGGTGCAGCCAGAGAGGCTGAGCCTTTCACTCTGTCCCCTCAGGAGTCCAGTCACCAGAGCATCTTGGCTTAGCGTGGTGCCTCGCTGGCTTCGAGGACACATAGACTTCTCTATTTTATTCTGGCTGCGCTGGAGGTGGTGGGTCACTGTGTTACTCTGGGCTGCAAGTAAAAGCTGATACTGAGGTGGTATCCACTGACGAGCCAGAGTGCACGGAGCTTTAGCCCTGCTGGTTGAGCCCTGGCCTGCAGAGGGAAGGTTCTCTCTGAGTTGGCTTCCTCTCCAGTGAGAAGATGCTGGTGAATCAGAAGACTTAGGACCAGAGCCAGAGGGTTGTTTGGAAATGAAGGGCAGATGTTTTCTCCTGACAGCAATTTGCAGATGAGCCTGCACCACAGGGCTTAAAAATACTTAAAAAAAAAAATCAACTGGCAATCCAAATCATAAATGGGAAACAGTCCCTTAATGTAACTCTGTCGTTCTTTTGTTCAGTTAATAGTAGTCATTGTCTACATTTGTTAATTATTCCATGTCGTCCTAGGAGACAAAAATAGATTATTTCTCAAGAAGAAACTTCTTTCAAAATCAAAGTTTAAAACTCCCCCTTGAGTCGGAAAATGCTTCTGGATTGTTCCTGGGGTATCTAATGGCTTCTAACACCACGTCTCCCAGAAGCAGCTAAATTCATGGGCATCTTTCTGATAAAACTTTTGTGTGCGTGTTTTAAAGTTTTATGAGTTCTTTTAAAGTAGCCAGCATGCGCTCCTCGGTCCTTCTCTTCGCTCAGTTTTTTCTGATGAACACAGCGCTTAGTAAACAAGTACTTCCATCGGTGCTGGTTCACTGAGAGGAGTGGCTGGCTGTGCTCCCCGGTTGGCTGTTGGGATGTGGTTGTGCAGTGCCCCCAATATCTACAATTTTATCGTGGGCTTCGTATATTCTCTGGATTAACGAGCATGCTGGTACTCACTGGCAGTTGAGATCCTTCACAGATTGGCCCAACCTCCTCTTTAATGCTGTCTCCTGTCACTTAACAACACAATCTCAGCCTTCCTCCACCTTTAACCAGGGGCGCAGATAGAGGAAAATGTTTGAGGGTGGGCGTCGGGACTGGGATTACCTGGACATGCTCAAGTGGTGTTCTCAGTGCTGGCTGAACGGTAGGATTGCTTGGGGAACCTGTAAAACTTGGGAGGCTCAGGTCACGCCCCAAACAGTTACATCTCCAGGGGATGGGATCCAGTGGCTGCGAAGGTTTGGAATCAACTCCAGAGGCAGCTATCTACACCACCGAGAATGAAGTGTTCTTGGTTGTTTTCTCTGCTTCCTCTAAGGCTCTGCCTCTGATCTAAACCCAGAATCCACATAGGAGTGTCTCAGTCTTCACTCACTTCCTCAGAGCTCCCCTTGGAATATCCTCTTCTTATGAAGAATACCCTCTTCACTTACTCAAATCCTTTTCATCCTTTGGGTCTCATCTATTAACCAGACTTCCGAATAGATCTCCCAATTTACAATGATCCCCATGAATTTTTATAGCTCAAAAGGTTGCATCAGTTATCCAGTAGATACCACGTAATGACATATGCTGGGCATTGCTCTCTGGACTCCCTCAATAGCTATAGTATAACATGCAGCCCAGTGGCCTCCTTGAAAGACCTGTAAGTTTATATGAAAATATTTTGGAGACTTTTGGCTAACAGTGTTTCTTATTTAAGTGTAAGCTGCTGTCGTTGTTTTAATCTTAAATTCTTTTCCTTCAAACTCAGTGGTTTTGAACTATTTCAGGCCACGGATTCCTTTGAAAATCTGGTGCAAACTATCGACCTTCCCAGAAAAGCGCTCATACAAACACACACTCCATTTCATATGCCAGCAGGGGGTTCATGAGCCCCCGTGAAGCCTGTCCATGGACTTGCTTTACCTGTTTTTTTTTTCTCATCTGAGAAAAGGGATTTTTTAAGTGGGGGAGTGAGGAGGAGGAAGGCAGTTTGGGAGAGAGATTTTCTTAGGCCCCATAGTGTGGGTGTGGGTGTGGGAGGTGGGGTCTTCTGATGGGAGGGTGGCATTTGGTCTGAGGGGAAGAGGCCCTGTGACAGGTAGGACATCGCATTCCTCCCCTCACATACCTGTGGGCCGCATGGTGCAACGCCTGTCCAATGCAGGAAAAGCCGATAGCTTCATTGACCACTAGATGTCACCACAACACCAGTAAGTTTTCTGGCTTTTGGCTGCCATGTGCCTGGGCCCAGAGGTGAAATAGCAAGTACGTTGCAGTAACTTAACCATCAGGGACCTAATATTAGCAGGATTTACTTTCATTATTATTATTATTTCAATACAAGGAAGTCCAAAGGATGAATAAAGATACATTCAGTATAAATAAACGGAAAACGAAAGAAAAGGTGAACGAGATAGAACAGGGGGAGTATGACCTGGCTCCAGTGTTACAATTCCCCTAGAAATGGCACTGTCTTGGAAATAGTTTTTTATCTTTGTGAGAAGGATTGTTGGCTGGACTGGGCTTTCAGGCTCCTAAAACAGCAGTTATTATTATTATGTAACTCACTTCACAGATACTCCAAAACCCATCTTGAACCAATTATGACCGTCCGTTCAATAAGAATTTGGATAATGTGCTCTTATTTAACATAAGGGCATGTTTCTTTTCTTTTTTAAAATATATTTTTATTCATTTCAGAGAGGAAGGGAGAGGGAGAGAGAGATAGAAACATCAATGATGAGAGAAAATCATTGATCGGCTGCCTCCTGCACGCCCCCTACTGGGGATCAAGCCTGCAACCTGGGCCTGTGCCCGTGGCTGGAATTAAACCCAGGACCTTCAGTCCCCAGGCTGATGCTCTATCCACTGAGTCAAACTGGCCAGGGTGGCATGTTTCTTGATTGAGGCATATTTTATTTCTTATTTTTTCTCTTGCAATACAGCCAAGTCTGTTACCACAGTAAGCATTAGCTCACTTTGTTTTATGGCCTCATATTGCAACCTTGGCTCCATTCAAATCTTTTATAATTGCATATTTTATATGATACACACGTTGGCAAGAACATGTGTATCAAATTTATCTTCATTGATTTAAAAGAAAACAATTTGTGTCACTATATCCTTCAACACTGAAGAGGCTTAATATTTCATTTAATTTAAAAATGAACCTAATGGATGCATTCTTGCTTCAGGGTAGTACAATTATATCAATAAGTCAAAGACCTAATTAGGATGCCAACTATTCTGTTCTGGAGTATTTGACAACTGGATGTGAAGCTAGTTCACTTCGCCTTTCCGATTCCTACATCTTGAAAAATAAATTCTTTGGCAGTAGATAAGCTTGGTGGGAAAGTGAGCCTATTCCATGTGCTCCAAATCTCATGAGCATTCTCTGACTGAACATGCATTGTTGATACAACACTGTGTGTGTAACATAGGCTGACCCGCTTAGCCTTAACCCAGGGGAGTCATACCAGTTTGGGGAAGGGGGCAGCGGCTCTCTCTGTGTAAAAGGGGGCAGGAAAGGAAGTGGGGAAGCAAAGACCCTTTAAATCTCTCTACTTTAGAATCCCTATTGGTATGAGAATGCCATCCTTCATGGGAGGTACTCACTCGGAAATGCTGCCCCATGCGAGCTGAGGAAGGAAGGGATCCCAGGTTTGCAGCAGGCTTGTGTGGCCCGCCTGGGTAGTTTGGCCAACAGGGCCCGCTGCTCAAGCTCACGGATGTTTTTGTCCCCTACAGGTGCATAGCTTTAAGAACTATTGGGAAAAACTGAACGCCAACCTGGAATATGTTAAGTACTCCAAGCCGCCCTTACACTATAACAACAGCATGGTCAGGAGTGAGTGGCACAGCCTGATCTCAGAAGAGGTACGTGTGGGTTCATGACAACAAAGCAAGAAGCAAGAGCATGCATGTTAGATCCCGGTGGGACCCCCAAGTCATAAGGCTGGCTTACCTTTGCAGCACCTCCCCAATTGCCAGGCACTTTTGCGTTGTTGCTACCAATCTCCCAATAGGCAGTCAGAGGTGCTTCTCTGATGCTTCTTTGGGTGATAGAGCCCTTCTGTCTCTTGATTGTGGTGGTACATGAATCTACGCATGTGATAAAATGACAGCACTGTACACTCACTGTACCAGTGTCAGTGTCTGATTTGGATAGTGTACCACATATAGTCATTTATATAAGATGTAAACATTGGGAAGATTGCGGGTGAAGAGACCTGAGGATTGTTGTATATAGTTGTAGTATTACTGTATATTAATGTATAGTTGATTTGCAGTGTCCTATCTGTATATATAAAACCCTGAGCAACCATCTGACTGTCCAACCGGTAGTTATGATGTGCACTGACCACCAGGGGGCTGATGCTCAACACAGGAGCTGCCAAGCTGCAGTGACTTGGCAGCTGCAGTTATCGGGTGATGTACCTGGAACCAGAGAGGAGGGAGCCTGATTCTGGGGTGCGTCACCTGAGAACAACCCTCTTGCAATCTGGGACCCCTCGGGCGATGTTGGAGAGCCGGTTTCGGCCCCATCCCTGCAGGCCAGGCTGAGGCTACCCCACCAGTGCATGAATCTGTGCACTGGGCCTCTAGTAAATTTATAATAGTTTTAGAGAAACAAAGTTTTAATAATCTAGGTATTTTATCTGTTTACCTAGAAGGTGTATTTCTTTTTCCTGAAACTCTTAATTGTATTCCATTATGTCCTTGATGTGAAAAATGTCACCCATAATACCTTCAGCTTTTATACCTCTGACATATTCTCACTCCTAGAAAACAGGAAAAAGAAGGTCCAAGGCGTATGTGAGGAATATTCTTGATAATGCAGTAAAGTAAGTGAAACTGGGGATTCTTGTATCTGTAAGATGGTTATCATTTGACTTATTTTTTGGCTACTTTTCATGGAAGTAGCTTACTTTTTTTGTGTATCATGATGCTGTCAGCTTACTGAATGCAGTCAGTGGGGCCCTATTCTGGAATTTGATGTCAGGTTTCTGGTGGAAAAGTTTATCTGTTAAGCCTTACAGGTTTGTACCCTATGGATGGATGATTTGTAAGGAAGTGGTAGAGAAAGTTCTTATTAATTGAACACTTTAGGGGGATACAGACAGTAGGCTGACTTAAAAAGTGATATTGGCCTGTGAGCTTGCTCTTATTTTGAAAGCAGATTTTCTGGATGGTGAGTCATCTGAGAATGCTACAAGTACAGGCCCCATTCCAACTTCTGTTCTATTTTCTGTTCCCATTATTTCCAATAACTAAGAGCTGCAATTGTTCTAAATTATTGTCATTGTTTGCACCAAAGGGCTTTGAGTTTCATAATTGCCTAATGTGGCTTTTGCCAAGTTGATGAAAGTTTCTGAGGTTTTCACCCGCCTGAGAAACAGTTTCTGCAGGGGTTGTTAGAGGAGGATATCATTGTACGCTATTGTGGCTTTCATTAAAAAAAAGAACGTTTCCTGTGTGAGTAACATTGGCTAATTTCTTTGTAGGGTGATTTCTAACCTAGAAGCAAGGAATTCAGGTAAGAAAAGACCTGTAATCAAGCCTTTGGATTCCAGTCACTGTTTTGTTTTTAACACCCTTCGTCCTTCCACTGGGGGTTGGCAAGAAACCCACTTCCAACAGTGCAGTGGAGGCAGCACCTTTAACATCTTCCTGTCCGAGCTCCATCCATGTCTGTCTTGGCACCAGGACCTTCAGGGACAGCTGCTGAGTGTGCTTTTGCTTGTTGGTCCCGGAGTGCTGGCCTCTGGCGTTCATTATTTTCCCGCATGGAGTTGATCTAGTTAACATGCCCACTGGCTGTACCCACAGGATGTGCTTTGGAAATTCCCTTGGCTCAGGGCGCCACTCCCTCCAGCTGTCTGATCACACAAGGGCCTTTGACTGGTGTGCTGCTTTCATTTTGGTTGACACTTGGGCACTCACTGGGTGAGGTCATAGGGGCGCAAAGATGAGGAGCCCCTAGGTAAGCCCAGCGATGTGGGGGAAGATCCTGGGCTTGGAGCCAGACAGGACTGGCTTAAACTCCAGCTGGGCCTCATGCTAACTGTGTCCTTTTAGGCAAACCAGTTAACCATTTTGTGTGGTCCTCCTCAGGGCAAGGGTGGGGAGAAAAGGAGAGTAAATGCTATAGCTCTTGGCACAGTGGGATACCTGGGGTGGCTGGTATATCATTCGTGTGTGAGGAAGAAATGCTAACACGTAATTTCTAAACCAGATGATAGGTGCTATGTAACCTCAGGGTGCAGGTGTGAGGGACAAGGAGCGAGGGGTGAGGGGTGAGGGCAGGAGTAGGGATGGTTGGGGCGGGTCTTGACAACCGAGGGGACTCAGCTGGAAAACTGGGGGAGGAGAATGCTAAGCATATCCAGGTATAAGCCCTTTTGCAGTCTTGTCAGAACTCTTTCAGGGTTCATACAAGTCAGTCTTTATGTAAAAAGTTGTTGCTTTTATATCTCACTTATGTTTATGGGCTTGGCTGTTAGGTATATGTTGGGTGACCCTAACGGAAATTGTTTTGTACAGTGTATTGCTGCACATCCGCAGCTGTGGTCCACCATCATGCACCGTGACGGTGAACTTGTCAGCCAGCCAGGCAGATGGAGCCTGGGCCCACTGCACGGCCCCAGGGCCCAGCCTCTGCCTGTTACCAGGCCATCCATGTTGAAGCCAGGGGTTGCATCACCAGCACCTGGCAGCAGCCGTCGGCAGGGTCCTGCCCAGTGCGCGGGGTGTGAACGTGTGGGATTCAGGGGTTTGCAATATGGGAAATGTTGCTGTGGTCTGTTTCTGTTGTTGGCACCCCCCCCCCCCCCCCGCCCACCCGAGGAGCCCCTTCTGCTCCTGTCCTTCAGGCCTGCTCGCGTCCTGTGACGAGTCATTTTCTCTTGACACCTTTTTGGGAACTTGCCCCTGCTTTGCTTGTGCCAGTTGCCTAGGAAGGATGACATCACTGCCAGAAAGGGAACACTCGTGTGAAATTCAGGGCTGCTGGGCTCAACCCTGCATTGTTTCTTCTTAATCATGAAGGTTATGTGGGATCCATGTAGGATTTCTCCTGAGGTGTCAAGAGGCATTCATGCCTCCCGCCAGGAGCCCTCAGCCCGGGGAAGGCAGAGTTCAGTTCTCCTGACCGGCACGTGCCTCAGGCTCTGGGACAGGAAGAGCAGGGCAGAGGTGCCCAGGTGCCCTCAGGGGAGTGTTAGGGCAGTTCTTCCAATAACACTGCTCCCCTGCTCCCCCACTCCCAGTCTTGCTGGTGAAGTGCAAGTCACGGTGGAGAAAGCGCCGTTGGATTTGACCTTACATATCACTTTCCATGTTGATTTAGTTGCTTTCAGTCTGATAACATACCCATTAGTATTATTGCCACAGTAATAGGTCCCCTCAGCTTAGTATTTCCCGAAAACACTGAACTATGGGAGGCCAGAAGGAAGGGAGTCATGTGATCCTTCCAACAAGTCCCTGTCCCTGTGTTTGTGTCCCCCTTAGAGTTTAGAGAGGTTACTCTGTCTCCCATGAAGCAGAAGTTCTTGGACAGTGGTGAGGTTTTGTGTTGAAGAGAAATCAAAGCCAGAGCCTGTTGCTGTTGGGAGATGTGTTCCTTCTCCCTTCCTTCCTCCCTTCCTTTGTTCTCACCCGGGTCTCGACCTGAATCTGCTGCCCAGAGCTCTCTTGCAGTCACCTGAGTGAGAAGTTCAGCTTATAGGAGTAGGTCACGCTAACCTAGTGAAAAATTTTTATTTTATCTGGGAACTGTCATGTTTTCCCAGTGACTAAGAGAGGGGAAACCCAGGCAGATTCAATTTTTTTCCAGCCCATTTCCTGCTTGACAATTGCTCTGTTTCATTTCAGAGCCAAGAGTGACACCCCTCTTGCAGGAGGAAGACAGCCACCAGAGGCTGCTTGTGGGGCTGGTGAGTGGTCTGTGGGACACTGAGGTGGCAGCAAACCATGGGCTCCAAGAAGGAGGAAAGCGCTAAGTTGTACTTCTCATCCTGATCTTGTTTTTCATTCTTTCAACACAGAATTGTGTCCAGCCACTGTACGCCCTGTGCGTTCAGTGGTAAGGAACACCTATATGATTTCTGTCCTCTTGGAATTACAGTCTAGTGGGGGAGACACACTTTAGTCAATTACCCCAATATAAATACATAATTACGAAACATCATAAGGAAATGTACATTAAGAGTTTTTAAAATGAGGAAAAAGCAACGTCTCTGTGGCATTTGTATTTCTAGTTTAAAATAAAACAGAATAAAGTATTCTTTCTCAAGAAATCCTACTACTAGGAAGACCAAACAAATATAAAGCAAAATAAATTAATTAAAGATCAGAATTGGTAAATAACTCCAAAAATCTTTAAAAGACTGATTAGAGACATCAGGAAAGTCTAATAAAATGTTTTTAATGCTGTGCAAGCTTAGGAATGGGATGATCTACTAGATATGGCAAGTTAAAACATATGAGAACAGTATGTATAAATACATGTTCACACACTTCAAAATTCTAGTTAAACAAAGTATCCTTGGCAAATACAATGACCAAACCTGAGCCAAGAAGAGATAGAAGACCTGAAAGCACAATTACTGTAAAATAATAAGAAAAACATGCCAAAGATCATCCCCCAGAAGACTGCAAAGTTACTTAATCAGCCTGTTCTTTCAAACTTTCGAGGACCAGGTAATTCTCATGGCATGTAAATTATTTTCAAAAAAAGATGGGAAGTGTCTTAATCACTTTAAAAAGCCAGCATAACCTTAAAACCAAAACTGACAATGAATAATCTAATACTAATTAATAGTCAACATCCTTCTTAATGGAATGTTGGAGGCATTTCTATTAAAATCAGAAATAAGTTAAGGATCATTGCGATTTTCACTAAAATTTTACATGGTTCTGGAAATTCCAGCCAATGCAATAAGAAACAAAAGTAAAAGAAGATGCTAAGACTGTCTAATACTACAAACAAACAAAATAAACAACTGGGAAAATGAAAAATAAGGAACAAGTTAGTAAGCTGCTGATTCTATTATTTATTTTATCTTATTTTTTTAAAAAGTCAGGATTAACTAGTTAGAAATAATAATGGAAAACAATATCCCATTTACAAGTTATTAGCATCTAGGTTAATATTTATTAGCATCTAGAATTCTAGATTAATAACATAAAATAAAAAAGCCAATAAAATGTCTCTGTCAGCAACTAAATGACTCAGTCGACACAGTAAAGAGGTGTAGGACTGTCATTACCAGATATCTGACTGTGTTGTTGGTCTACATGGACAGCAACAATATGGTGCTTGTACAAAGTAGTCAGTAGACTGTAGTTTAATTAGAATCTTTAGTATGATATGTGATTAGAATCTTTAGTGTATAATATGTATAAAAGTCAATGTGGAAAGTAATAAGTTTTAAAAACTTAGTCAATGGTTATCTATTTGCGAAAGAAAATTAAGTTAGATTCATCCTATCCCAAATACCACCACTTTATACCATAAAACAGCAATTTTCAACCTTTTTCATCTCAGGGCACACATAAACTAATTACTAAAATTCTGCAAAAACATAGTATAATTTTGATTCATTCGCCCTGGAGGCTATTGTGTTAGCTGTTGTCATTTTTTATTTGACATTCGAACAATTTAAAAATTGTTGTGGCACATCAATTGAAAATCACTGCCATAAATCAATAGAAATATTAGATAGATAAAGGAGTAGGATATACAATACTTAACTATGTGAAAGAATTTGAATAGGTGGATAAATAGTTTTGAAATAAAGAAGGCCCTTTAGTGTGTTATTGAATATAGACATATAGGAAAAGATAGATTGAAAATTTAAACAGAAAAACAAAAGGAAAACGATAAATTTGGAAAAATTGTTTGTGATATTTGTGATAAATGATTAACATTTGGTGTATAAGTAAAGTTTATAGGTCAATACAAGAACAATACATCAGCCTGGCCAGCGTAGCTCAGTGGTTGAGCAATGACTATGAATCAGGCTTGCGGGCTTTATCCCCACTGTGAGCATGCAGGAGGCAGGTAGTCAATCAATGATTCTCTCTCATCATTGATGTTTCTCTCTCTCCCTCTCCCTTCCTCTCTGAAATCAATAAAAATATATATTTTTAAAAAGAGCAACACATGAGAAGGGAAATGAATAAAGGCTGTGACCAATGATTTTTTTGAAAGTAAATTTAGGTCAAAAATCTCAAGTCATGGAAAGGGAAGAAAAAGAATTGTTTACCATTGCTATATTCAAATGACAAATAGAACAAGTGTTTTTGCTTGCTTGTTTTTTATTGTCTATCAAATTGACAACAATTTAAGAATCATACCAGCAAAGTTCAGATTACAGGGAGTTGGACAGCCTCATCCAGTGCAGTGAGAATTAGTGTAACCACAATGGAAGGCATTTTGGTGATCTCTCCACAAACCTTAAGTGTGTGACCCAACAAATTCCATTTCTAGGAATTTAGTCTGACAAACTAACACGGTAAATGACTTTTGTTTGAGAATTCGTTGGGGAATTCTCACCAGGGCCTGGAGTTTGACTCTCAACTGCTCCCTGGGCTTTGGATGGATCAGAAATAGTTCCTCTTGAAAACGTTGGCACCCTGGATTTGTGCTAATCAGAGGAAGATTGAGGATTATGCATTTCTGCTGGTGGGATCTTTACACCCAATATTTTCATATTAATAAGGAATGTTAATAAATGGTTCCAACTCAAACCAGTTGCCAGTGTGAGTGGGTGGGTTGTGATTTATCTAATTTATATCCTGTTTTCAGATGGTGTCTGAACTAAAAGACCATCTTTCGAGACATCTACAGGGTGTGGAAAAGAAGAAAATTGAACAGATGGTTCTGGACTACAGTTCAAAACTGGTTGGTTTTGCTTTCTGTTTTCCATCCCCCAAAGCCCAGGTATATAATTCCTAGTATATTTTTCAAATTAGGTTTTTGGAGGTCTCCCATTCTCAAACCAGTATATTGCGTGCTATAGATTGAGGAAAGGGGGAAAAAAACAAAACCCTCAAAACAAAGAGAACTTGGTGTATTGCACAACCTTCCAATAGTGATTGTATGCTCATGAAGCCTAAACCAGTGATGAGTTTAGCATGGTTGCCTAATGTTCATATCTCATCTTGGCATTTTATTAAACAGTAGGTAATGATTTCTGTGCATGGAGGTTTATGTAAACATGAGAGAACTTGAAGTTCAATTCTTAATTAGCTCCAACAGTCCAATTAGGCCAGATTCCAGTTAGTTGTAGAAATACTACCACATTAGAATCTGCTGATGAGATTGGCAGCTCATCTACCAGATAGCCAGCCACTTACTGAAACCATGTAATCCAAATGAATGCCAATTCATGTGTAAATAGAAGTGATGTTTTTAGACTGAATTCTAAAGCTGTATTGGGTGCTTTTATAAAGCATATGGAGTTGAAGCCTGACCCTACTTAGAACCTAGAAATAATGTGCCAGAAAAAAAAAAATTAAAAGTACATAGAAAGAGAAAGAACACTCCATTTTCCCAAGTTTGGGTAAGACCACTATGCAAATGAGCCAGTCAGTGTCGGATACATATTTTTGCATTGAACTCTGGAAGATTAAATTTATTAGATCGGACCCTCATTTAATTTCATGTTTTATTTTTAAAGTTTCTGCCTTCATTGTAATCATTAGTGTCTCTTTTTAAAAGAATATCTTTGAATTTAATAGTTTTTAATGTATTAGGAGAGGTTGGTATTCTCATATACTGATATTTATAATCAGAGCATTGAAACTATCTTAAATAATCCACCCTTGAAGTGGAACTATACTGAGGGGCTGACTTTCATCGATGTGTTAGTGATCTTCCCCATGCTGATATTAACTTACTTTTTTAGTCTTTTAACTAATACCATACAACTATTTAACACATCTGCCTATCACCTTTACTTCTGTTGACTTTAGATTTCACCTTCCAAAGTATTAAGAGTTTTTGTTTAAATATTATTTTTCCCCATAGTTAACCTCATAAAAGTTTTGACACTGGTTTGTGTGAAACACTCCTGGAACACAATAGGACCTGAAATGGTACAGATGTAGTCTCAGGAAACTCAGTGCCCCTGACTTTCTGCCTCAGCAGTTACTGATTGAAGCCAAATCTGCCTGCCCCAGCCCAGCGGCCAACAGCCACATCTCCCAGGCTCCTCTCAGGAGGGTGGCTTGATAGCCTTTCTAAAACAAATTCCAGAAGTTTCTGCAGAACCTGGACATATTACGCATTATCTTACCTGATTTCAGCTCAAGAGAAACTGAGAATCTATATAATTGAGAATAAATGGCGTTTGTCTGTGCCTGTAGGGAGGCCCTGTCCTTTGCCCACACCTGCAATGCTTGGATGCATGGCTGATAACTGCTTAGTGGAGGCTGTACTAGTATTAACACATTAGTAAAATGTTGAACCTGGGGACTTGAAACCAGTCTTACACCACAGCCCATGCTCGGGACTTCATGCTGTTCAGTATCGCCTTTCTCCTCACTGCCAGTGGTTGGCTGTTGCCACACAGCAGGCCTAGAGCAGACCCAGTTGCACTTGACCTTCACTGATGGACAAAGGCCTTTAATTGAGGGCCTGTTGGCCAGGCTGGGGGAGCTCAGCTGGGGCATGGCCCGCACAGACAGAGGGTACTCTGTTGGACTCTGGGGTGCATTTTCAGTCTTTCCACTTGGGATTCCAGCGCCTCAGAGCTGACCTCAGAAAGGCTGGTTCTGTGTCTGGGAACAGCCGGAGCGCCAGCTGCCCCAAATGTGCTTGTCAGAACTGGGAAGCATAGCTGTGGGGCCCCTGAGGGGTGGGTGGGATGAGCAAAGATTGATAGATTGTCTTTCCCCTCCAGCTGGACGTCATTTGCCAAATACTGGAAACCAGTTGGAGGAAACATAATCTTCATCCCTCGGTTCTCCACTTGTACGCAAGTATTTCTCGTTCGTTTGTCATGGTGTGCAAAGAGCCAAAACAACTCTGATTGCTGCCTGCTTTCAAAGCCTTTTTGGAACTTACCAGTTGAAAGCAATTCTCACCAGTCCTGACACCATCTCTCTTAGTTCCGTGCTCAATGTTTAAAGTTATGCCCCTATTATGTCACTCATCCTCTTTCCTGGCATGTGGCTGATGGTGAGGGGGAGGGGCACATGAGTTAAGTACTACCAAGAAGGGGAATTGAAGTTAACATAATTAATTATGTGCCAACTCCCTGGTTAGATTCTAGGCTTTAGGCGGTGGTCACCATCATATTTTTGAAGCTTTCTACAGGGTAGCTGTTCACGATTTGTATGGATTCCATTTGTCTATGGTACTCAGAGCTACTGCTTAGACAAATGGAGTTTCAGAGCTGAGCTTCTTGGCTGACATGCTGCTTTGGTCCTTCCCCCAGCAACAGGCGGGCTAGTGCTGCTGAATCTGCAGTCTTCCACATCATGACCAGGATTTTGGAAGCTACTAACAGTTTGTTTTTACCTCTGCCTCCTGGTAAGTCTTGGCTCTTTTATCCTTTGTTATAATAGACTTGTTCTTTCTTCTTCACATGGTCCCTAGATGAAGGCACATTATGAGTTTAAGGATGAGACCTGCTGTGTCTGAGAAACTGTGTGTCTGGTGTCACTGTGAGAGAAGGGCCTGAGGTTGGTCTCTGCTCGCCAGATCTCCCCCAATTATTAAACTATACTGTAGTTTGTCAGTAACTTTAGGGAGCCCAGCTTGGTCCCCATGTAACTTTCTAGGATACTTTGAACCAGTGGAGCTGATTCAGGGAGATCTTTCTCTGATGTCTGTAAGCCTAGTTTATCTGAACAAGAAAGTTAACACAGAAGGAAGTGGGTCTGGCTGGGTGTCAAAATTGAACTGATTCTTATGTGCTTAGAAGCTGTACTTTACATTCCCATGGCTATTTTTTTAATAACTGGCAATTTTTACTTCTTAATCCCTTAACCTTTTTCAACTATCCCCTTGATCCCCCTCCCATCTGGCAGCCATCAGTTTGCTCTCTGTATCTATGAGCTTGTTTCTGTTTTTTTTGTTTGCTTATTTTGTTTTATAGATTCCACATATAAGTGAAATCATTTGTCTTTCTCTGCCTGACTTATTTCACTTAGCATAATACCTTCTAGTACTATTCATGTTGTTGCAAATGGCAAAAATTCATCTTTTTTTATGGCTAATATTCCATTGTTTATAATAGACCACATCTTCTTTATCCATTCCTATCATCTTTTTTATCCATTCATCTATTGATGGACACTTAGGCTGCTTCTATATCATGGCTATTGTAAATAATGCTGCACTGAACATGGGGGCACACATATCTTTTCAAATTAGTGTTTTGGGTTTCTTCAAATAAATGCCCAGAAGTGGAATTTCTGCATCATATGTTAGATCTATTTTTTGAGGAACCTCCATACTGTTTTCCACAGCAACTGCACAAATTTATAATTCCACCAACAGTGCACAAGGGTTTCCTTTTCTCCACATTCTTGCCAACACTTGTTGTTATGTTGATTTATTGATCATACGTCAGCCAGTTTAATGTATTCATATATAGCTAGCCATTCACCCATCATTAATTAATTCCTTTACTCATTCATGTTAAGCCTACATGTATATAGTGCCTATAGTACTTTGTTCCAAGTACTTTTACATAAATTAGCACATTTAATTTTCATAACAATCCTGAGTAATAGGAGCTTAAATTGAACCACATTAAATATTTGACCAACAGAAACGGCACTTTTGTATGGTTCCACTTAATATTATTCCCATTTAAAGATGGCGATGTTGAGGTGCAGCAAGTTTAAGAATAACTTGCCTAAAGTCACACAGAGCCAGTATTGAAATCCAGGCAATCTGGCTCCAAATTCTGGGCTTTTAATTACTGTTCTGTTGCTACCTTTTGAATTTTATAATCCAGTTGAATTAGTTGATGCTCAAACTTTGGCTATTTATGGGCCCAGAAAATCCCTATAGCGTCTGAAATTCCCTGGATCTGTGACATATCTAATATGGTATGGAATCCTTTATGCTTTCTCTATCCGTACACCTTATCTTACTAGGTCTGCATGTAGTGAGGGTACAAAGCAGGTTTCTTTTGAGTTTGTAGAAATCTGAAAGTGGCCATGTATGAGGAGAAGGGATGGCTTTAAATTATTCCAATGGAATATAAATTGTGAGGAGCCCTCTAGAAAGAGTGAAGGGATTTCATGAAAACTGTGTATGGCTTCCTGGCTTAAATTCTTAATTATTTATGAGTAACATGAAAGACTTAGTAGAGGGATGAATTGACACTTTCACATTTGTTCACCCTGGGTGAACAAGCTCCTTTTGTAAATAAATGAACTTGACTTACTGGGGACAATATTATTCTTGGGAGATCGTAAAAACTCATTCACTTTCTGCAGAACATTGCATTCTTTCACAGGGATGGATAAGGAGGGAAACCAGGAAAATGTTATCCGTAGTGACTGAGAATTATTTTAAGTGGACTTAACAGCTTGTGTCCATGGGTTAAATAAGGAAGAGCAGTTTCTATCCTTTTTCTATCTTTAAAAAAATGCATTTTTTTTTTAATTGATTTCAGACAGGAAGGAAGAGGGAGAAACATCAATGATGGGAGAGAATCATTGATGGGCTGCCTCCTGCATGCCCCCTACAGGGGATTGAGCCCACAACCTGGGCATGTGCCCAGATTGGAAATCGAACCATGACCTCCTGGTTAATAGGTCGATGCTCAGCCACTGAGCCACATTGGCCAGGCATATCCTTTTTCTCTTAAATGTTTGTTTCCCTCATGTGACATGGAAATGGAAGTGAAGCGACACTGAATCATGTGTGTGTACAGACGTGTGTATAAGTACAGGGTGTTTTTTCATTTGCATGTGTTAGTGTGCATGCTTTCCAGGCCTCCTAGAGTAGAGGAGACTGAGTTTCACATGTCAGAAACATGTAACCCGAATTGGTTAAAGAAGAAAAAGATGGGATCCACAAAAAGGAAGTCATGGTTTAGAGCTGGAGCATTTGCAGTTTAAAGGGCACCTGTGTCCCCCTTGCTGGCCAGAGGAGGCCAGGACCCCTGGAGGACGAGGACAAGAGTTGGCTGGAAAAGTTCTTTTTTGGAACCAATGCCTACTTTTAGCTAGTTTTTCCTGTTGCCAGAGCTGACATGCAGAGAGGAGGCCAAGAATGGACTGTTGAACTTGGGCCTGTGCCCTAGGGACAGAGGATGAAGGGTCATCAGGGATATTTAGGACATGGACACAGGGCTGGAGAGGAATTTTAAGTCCAGAAAATTTATAGAACTTCCAAACTTTTATTCAGAAATAATTTCATAACTTTTTTTTAAAATCTTGGGAAGACTGTCCAAACCCATTAGAAGAATCTTATGTTGTTAATTAGCTAGTAAACTTATGATTTTCTCTTTTGGATTCAGGGGAGCTAGTGGACTCATCCATTGCTAGGCCAGCAACATCTGCTTGTGGGCAGCAGAGCCTGCATTTTATCTGACCTTCGATGTTGCCAGGACTTGAGTTCCTCACTGCTCATGATTCAGAGAGAGAGAGAGAGAGAGAGAGAGAGAGAGAGAGAGAGAGAGAGAGAGAGAGAGAGAGAGAGAGAGAGAACGAGAACTCCACGATTTGTCTGAATGCAAGCCCCTGCTCTTTGGGTATCATTTCTTTGTCATGTCAGCTCCCAGGACTAGACTAGGAGTCTTTGTCATTTGCTGCCCACGTCCCATCAGTTTCCAAGCGTCTCCCATCCCTGCCCTCATTACCTCCTGCCCAGGTTCATGCAATTGCCTCCCGACAGGTCTTCATACCCCTTGTAGCAAACTGTTACTCTACCTCCTTCTTGCCATTTTAATATTCCAAAAGTAAAGCTCAATCCTCTTTCCAGGCTGCTTAAAAACTTTTAGTGCCTCCCCCAAGCCTACTAAATAACAAAGTCCTTGCTGCCATTCAGCATTCAACCCGTCACATTTACTCAGAGCACCCTGCACTTTTCTCTCATAGACCTGGTCACGTTAAAAAATAGATATTGATTTTTCTTGGTAATTATTTGATTTTCTCTCTCCCCCTCAAACTGGAAGGTGGATGGGAGCAGTTGCCCCTGTTTTGCTCATTAGTGTACGCCCAGCCCCTTGCGTGGTATACAGAAGGGATTTGTCAAGTCAACCTTTCCAACCTCACCTCCTGTCATTCCTGTCCTCCACCTGATTCCAGCTCAGCCGGACCAGTTAATGTTTTCTGAACATGCCCCATACTCTCTTACCTTTGGGCTCCTGTTCTTATTGTTCTATTAACACAGCTACCGATGATGGGGGCTGGATTATGTTACAGTAGAAACCTAGGTTAACGCCCCACAGCCTGTGTGCAAATTTCAACTCTGCCACTTACTATTTATATGATCCTGAGCAAGTCTCCCAGCGCCCGTGAACCTCGGCTTCTCCATTTAAAGCTGTTCCCCCTTCATGGGGCTGCGTGAGGACCAAGTAAGCCAGTGGGTAGGTGGACGGCCTCAGCACACGTTTGGTATTAGCCACTGTTGTTATCCTACGGGCGCTCCTTAGATCAGCTCTGGTTCTCAGGGCAGCCCTGCAGGAAAGGTGGTGGCGGTTCCATTGGAAGGACGCAGAAACGGAGGCTCACAGGGGCTTAGCTGCCCCCGCTAGTAAGCAGGTGGCAGGACTCCAGCCTCAGGCTACTCGCACAAACATGGCTTTTTCTGCTATCTCCCCCCTGTGTCCTCCTGCCTCATTCCCACCCCCAGGAATCGCATTTACCCTTCACAGCTCCCCTCATCTGCCACTTTTCCAAGAGGACTTGTCTGATTCTTTCTTGGTCTGATGTCTTCTCCCATGGGTGCTGTTTTTATCATTTATTGTTAACAGCGCACTTAGCGCTCTAGGTTTCTACAAGTTTGAGGAGCCTTCCCCATGATACTCAGGTTTTGGAGAGCCTTCCTCTCTGATGGCTTCCTATAGATTTCCTATCTGACCATATTGTTGTAATTCTTCTTCTGTAATAAATAATTTAGTCCAAGTAGACCCCAAAGGCATACCTGGAGACCGGGCATATAAGCTGGCTCCTTCTGGGTCAGATTTTTTTCCTCTTTAGCAAAAATGGTTCCTATCCATCAGCCTTTAGCTGGGCATGTGGAGTCTGAAGGCCTCCTGTTAACTGTTCTCTTTTGCCATCTTACCGTAGCATTGCCAACTGCTAAACTCTGAAACCGTTTCTCATCGAGCCGTCTTGCACACTTTTCCTCTTTTTTGCTTAGGGAGGGACACAGGTGACGGTCATACAGACTTGTTGGGAACTTCTATGCCCAGCACAGTGCTTAGTCTTGGTAATGCGTAGCCTTGTCTTCACGCAGCATTTCGTGGACTCTAGGAGCCAAGCACTGAGCTAAGTGCTTTATGAACACCGTTGTGTTCATTCTGCCTGAGATGCTGGCTGACCGCTGTACCCTCCCGCATCTCTCATCCTAGGTTTTCACACTCTGCACACGATCCTGGGCGTCCGCTGTCTCCCTTTGCATAACCTGCTGCATTACATCGATGGCGGGGTGCTGCTCCTCACAGAAACGGCTGTCACGAAGCTCATGCAAGGTAAGAGGCTCCGAGGCTCTGCGCTTTCCTGTCTGAGCACCTCCAGGCCTGGCTTCCCGGGGGTGCCACCTGTGTGGCCAGGGCCCAGCAGTACTCGGAAGGGCCCACGCTTACGGTAATGCCTTGCATGACATCTTGAAATTCTTAGTATTGAACAAGGGGCTCCTCATTTTTTTAATTTTCTTTTTTTGCATCGGTCACCATAAATTATGCAGCTGGCCCTTCTGAGTGCAGTTCATTTCCTGGAACCATCCTTTGGGCTAATTTAAAGTGTCTTCGCCCTTCAGGAGACCCCAAATGACTTCTCAGTCCACACACAGCTATTCGACTCCTTTACTGGACATGAGGGCACTTGAGGACAGGAGCCTCTGAAGGCGTGTTTCTTAAGTCACGGAATGGCTTATTTTCAGCTGATTAACACGATCATTGCAAAGCCAGACTTGAAATGCAAGAAAAATCAATGAGAAATGCAGTGCTTATATGATTTTGAAGTTTAAATGTGGTCTGTAGTATAATCGCTCTCACCTAACTGATTTAGTTGTGGTATTTTACAGATGAGTTTTGTTAATATATGTTGAAGTATTTCCCATTCTTCAAGGTACCTCCTGTTTTCAGTTAGTAAAATTGTTTTCTGACTAGCAGCCTGCTCCAGAACCACGTCCCATGATATATAGAAACCGTTTCCTTTAAACAACCCTTTGTTCAGACAGACACAATGCTTAATACAAGGTCGGGAGATGTGTTATCAGGACGAACCGCTGAAGTACTAGTAGCCTGGTCAGATATTCAAATGGAGATTTCTGGTTTGCCTGTCACTCTGACTTTCTTGTAGATCTGGACAACACAGAGAAAAATGAGAAACTGAAATTCAGCATCGTTGTGCGGCTTCCTCCGGTAATCCTGAACCCCATTTTATTTTCTCCCTGAGCCTTGGCATGAACCTCCTTCAAGTTCTTCTGGCAAAAGGAGCATTCACTTGATTTGGGCTGAAGTCAGTTGAATTGTTTCACTTTTCAGTTCTTTCCAAGAAACCCCATCCATCCCCACCCTCTGCCGCGGTCGGCTGGGCCTGCGAGGCCCTCGCGCCTCTGGCTCGGCTCTGCCTTGGCACAGCCCACCTCACACACTTAGCCATTTTCTTCTCTTAGGAAACCGCTCTAATATTTACATCTGGGAGTCAGGGGAGGGAGAGGGGAAACATGTGCTTTTGGCTTCTAAACTGATAAGAAATTTAAATACAGGTGAGGTCAGAAGGTCCTGGAACTGAGTTTCCTCCTCCTGCAGTTTCCACCAGGGCTGGAAAACATTCCTGGTGGAAGGAAGAACGAGAAACATGAGGGACCTGAAAGCGTTATGAAGACACTCCTTGTTTTCGTGGGGAATAGTAGCTCTTGGATTTAGAAATACTATGAAAATATGAAATTCCACAGCAAGGTCTTCAGAGCCTCGACTCTGAGATCTCTGACCCTGGGCGCCAGGGCCAGCCCTGCGTGCTGTTTACATACCTTGAGCCCTTGCATCTCTGGCACGATCCTCCCACGAAGGGGTGTCATTGCCTTTCTGCTCCGAATCGGCTTGCTTTGTAACACCCTCTCCCCCTTGCAGGCTTACTGAAGCAAAGGCGAGAAGAGAAAACAAAGCATGTTTTCCAAGGCTGGATCTCTCAGGGGATTGTCTCTGAACATTTATTTTGGTCTTTAAATGAGATTTTTTTTTTTTTTTTTTTTTTTTTTTTTTTGCCTCATGTTCTCAGGGAATTAAAATTTCCTGGGCAAGACATTGGCAGAGAATATGCCTATAACCTTTCGTTTCCTATCAAAACATCGCTTGGAGTTGGCATGCAGGACCCCAGCTTTGAAGAGTAGCGGATGAACTCCATTTCAGAAAAAGAGTTTGGCAACATCAGTGTATAAACTGCTTTCTCAGGGTTGCATTTAAGGGAGTATTTACTCAAAATTCAGAAGCATACCTCCGAGGAAACGACCTTTTTCCAAAGGTCGTTAAGCATAAAGGGCCTTTTAGACTAACTGGTGACTTTGGAATAATATTTTTAACATTGTGAATAAATTTAAGGTACATTTACTTAATATAGTGTGAGCTATATTCTCCTCTATATGTTTTTCAATCCGTTTATTTTTATAATTGACTTTATTTTCTTTAGAGTAGTTTAGGGTTCACAGCAAAATTGAGTGGAAGGCATAGAGCTTTTCCACCCTCCCCCCACCCCCACAAATGCATGGCCTCCCCCCATCAACATCCCCACAGAATGTCCATTTATTACAGTTACTGAACCTGCATCACAACCATCCGAAGTCCACAGTCAGCATTAGGGTTCACTCTTGGTGGTGTTCATTCTATGAATTTGGCCCTCATTATAGTGTCGTACTTGCACTGCCCTAAAAATCCTCCTCGACCTGTTTTTCAATTTGCATCATAGCTCATTGGTCAGAAGGTCTGCCGACTTTGGGACCATCCTATGAGTTCTAACATTATTTCCCGGAACCATGTGAGGCGGTTGCTTCAGAACTATAAGAAGCAGGTGAGCCAGTGTGAGAGCGCAGCCCCACTAAATGTTTCATGGATCCTGTTTGCCCATGTCAGCTTACCTATATGGACTGCAATTATAGTTATTACCACTTTTTTTTTTTAAGTCTGTGCTGGTTTTGGATAATCAACTAACACCAGAAGTGGTTTCCTTTTTAGCCTCAGAGTTCTATAACTGACAAGTCGTCATTCAGTATGGAATTTCTGCCTCTGAACTACTTCATTGAAACACTGACAGAGATAGAGTCCTCCAATCAAGGTAATTCACTCCTCTGGCCTCAGAGTTTTCCCTTGGCACATCAGTCAGTCCCTATTTACACCCCTGTACCTTTTTCTTTCCAAATTAATAAGTAGGTCCTTACTGCAATTGGTCTTAACTAGCAATACACAACTTACCTGGAGCAAATTACCGAAAGGAATGATCACCTCTGAAATTTTTTAAAAAATGTATTTTACAGAGAAGAAGGGAGAGGGAATAGAGAGTTAGAAACATTGATCAGCTGCCTCCTGCACACCCCCTACTGGGGCTGTGCCCGCAACCAAGGCACATGCCCTTGACTGGAATCGAACCTGGGACCCTTCAGTCCGCAGGCTGACGCTCTATCCACTGAGCCAAACCGGTTAGGGCACCTCTGAATTTTTAAAAGGGTTTAAGATGTTAAAAACCCATTTGGATGATGCACCTGGCCTTTCCTGGTTCTGAGGTTTAGTAAGTTTTAACAGCCCATTCTCAGGACAGTGTGTTTTACTGAAATATAAAATAATGATGATTCAAAGAGCCGTGGGCACAGCATTATAAATGCCACATAGTTTCATAGTAACTCTTTTCTCTTTCTCTCTCTTTCCAGGCCTGGATGCTTTCATAGGACATGACAACGTGGATGCAAAATTTGTGGAGGAAGCAGCTCTGAAACACACCACAATGCTTTTAGGCTTATAAAAAAGAAAATATAATTGTGTCAGCTTCCAAGTTTTACTCTTGCTCATTAGCTCTACTTCTACTGAGAATTCTCTAGCAGTATTTGAAACTGGTTACCAAAATCAGAATGCATTGCTGAGCCACTGAACGTCAGCTTGGTACTTGTTCAGACTGAAGTCAACTGCTGTCCCTCATCCCAGTTTTGGACAGCCGATGACAGCCACGTGTGGAGACATGACCGCCAGCCCCGGAGGCAGGCAGTGGCATAAAGGATGCTCTTCCTAGTGGCCACATAGGCCAAAAGCTGGTTTCTGTCGCACTCGGAAATAATCTATGCTTTAAAAATGTAGGGACTAGTGTGTAGAAAAACAAACACTAGTAAGTGTCATTGAAAATAACGTATGACAAGTGGAAAAATTAAATGTATGTGTAAAGAGGATAGCTTTGAAAAAACTGAATTTGGACTAAGTCATATCTGCTATTTCCAGTATAGAAAAATTTGTAACATACAGCAATTTGTACATACTGTCTATTCAGAGTAAGATTTTACTTTTTTTTTTTAAATATATTTTATTGATTTTTTACAGAGAGGAAAGGAGAGGGATAGAGAGTTAGAAACATCGATGACAGAGAAACATCGATCAGCTGCCTCCTGCACACCCCCTACTGGGGATGTGCCTGCAACCAAGGAACATGCCCTTGACCGGAATCGAACCTGGGACCTTTCAGTCCGCAGGCTGACGCTCTATCCACTGAGCCAAACCAGTTAGGGCAAGATTTTACTTTTTTGTTATGGTTCAGATGGAACTGTATTTAATGTGTTTACGCTTTTTTATATTTATAAAAGTTTGATTTAGAAATAACTTATCATTAAAAAACAAAACCAAAAAACACTGTAAGTTTTGGCCTGACTCTTTTGTCATTTCTACACTTTTTTTTAAAAAAAATATATATTTTATTGATTTTTTACAGAGAGGAAGGGAGAGGGATAGCGAGTTAGAAAAATCTATCAGCTGCCTCCTGCACACCCCCTACTGGGGATGTGCCCGCAACCAAGGTACATGCCTTTGACCGGAATCGAACCTGGGACTCTTCAGTCCACAGGCCGACGCTCTAGCCACTGAGCCAAACTGGTCAGGTCTTTTTTTTTTCTTTTTTCTTTTTTTTCAAAGACTTTATAGTCCAGCCAGGAATCATGAATCTATGAACATGTTCCCCTAAAGTCCCCCATGCCATCTAACTAGTTCTCCCACTTCCCCCTACAACATCCCTCCACCCTCCGCCCCCCAGTCTACAGTGACTTAATTCTGACCCATCTATACAGTTGCTGCCTGGGGTCAGCCCATGACCCTTTGCTAATTTCTTTTCACATTATTTCCCTCAGTGAACCTGTGAAATTTTAATCATCATAAATATCACTAGCTGGTATAATAATTCAAGTTCTTTTCTAAAATGATCATTGTATTTTAAAAATTGTCCTCTCCTACAGAATTCCCCTTTTTGGTTAAATACTTCATGGTCACTGAGGCTCAAAATCTTAGAGCCATATGAGCAAGGCAGTGCTGATCTTTTTCTCTTTGTAAGGTCGTTATTTTTCATTCCTTACCCTTTTCTTTTCACACCTGGCTTGTGCCGGTGACTTTCTAAGGTCTAATTCAACTGACTTATATTTGAGATAAACACTAGCTCGATCCTGTCCTACTTCCTCAATAACTTGCCATTCATTATAGGATACAATTCAAACTCACATTTGAAATTACAGGATAAAATGCCAACTCCCCCTAATCCCGCTGATACAGTTCCCCAATATGAACATTCTGTTCCAGCCAGGCCCGTTCACTGGGCCTGGAGCACAACTTTTGTCTTTTTACTTCAAAGCTTTGCTCAGGCTATTTCCCCCACCTGGGATGCCCTCTTCTTCACCTGTTAAAATCTTCTCTGTGAGACGTTCCCTCTGACTGTGACCCCGGTCACTCCAGCACACAGTGCCACCTTCCCCCTCTCAAGCGGTAACACACATTATACTATTTAAGTGTCCGTTCCTTTGCAAGTTAAATTCCCCCCATTCCTATGTTGTTAAGCTTCCAATGTGTACTTTTTGAATCCCTGATGCAATTGCTAATTCCTACAACACAGGACCTGTGTGTATGCATTTCTTTGTGTGAAACACACGATTTATATGGTTACTTATGGGTACTCCCAAGGAATTGCCTTTCAATAACTTCACAAAGCAATTGGGTTAGATTCAGGACTCGGAGACTGAGAATGACGTTAAATTTTCCTCCAATCTGGCAGGAACAAATTTTGTTTGATTTAGCAAAATAAAGGAATGTGGTATTTCTCACGCCCAGAGTTGTGAACTAAAATTCATAACTGGTATCAGTATGAAGTAAAGATAGACTAAGCATATTAACAAATATAAAATCACGGGTTTGAAATCTTGTGTATATTCATACATAAGAACATATAAAAACAGAATTAGGAATATACTTGGATGAAATGCAATAAAATTAGAGTAATAAAATCAGGGGAGCTGGCCTCATTTTCAACTCTTTCACATGCCAAGTTATAAATATTTCTATTGAAAATTTCGAAAAATCTGGTATCAAAACTTAAAATAATCATGAGTTTATTTGCATCCAACATTTTGATAAATCTAAATATAAGAAAGATAAGTTAGGGCATAATAATTTTTGCAGCAAAAGGATTATTTAACTTGTAAAAAGAATCACCATAACATTATTTTGAAAATGACAAGCTTCCCTCCTGCTTTTTACTTGATTTAGATTTAACAACATTAACTTTAAATGCAACCATTTACTTAACAAAGTCAGTTAGGTCTCTGAGATACTTGATCATTCTATCTTTTTCTTTAAAGTCAGTATATTGAACAGTATTTCCTTTTTGTCTTTAATAAATAAGGACCACTCAGCCAATTTCTGTGCTTCACTGAAAATTATTTTTATTGAATTTTTATAGCACCTGGCCTACTATGTATATCTGAAAGGTTTCAATATATAGAGTGAAAAAGAAAGAAATGTACAATGCAAATATATGTTTGACATAATTGTAGAACAATTCTATGTCCTACCCAACATCATATAAAATATAGTAGTTGATGAGTATAAAAGGAAACTATGTTATTTCTGTTGTTGGTTAATTGTGGCTGTCGTATTTGCCTGTAATCTCAAGCTATTATGCTGACATTTTCCAGCTGTGGATATGACGAAGCTTGGCCGAAGTGTCTCCTTGAGGAGCCTGAATTGGTTTACACATTCAGATTTCAATTGGCTTTATAACAGGCTTCTTGATGTGCCTCATATTGGACCCTGGTTCACTGGGCTTAAAAGGAGCCAAAGCACCATATGGTTTCGGCAAGGGAAGAGTGGCTTCTGCATCTGGGATGTAGGCAGTCGGACGCAGCTCTGCAGTTGTGAGAACACCGTTGGGCAGCTGGCGTTGTGCGTCCAAGAATTGCTGCAAAGAATGAAATTTCCTTTTCAGTTTTCTGCAAACTCTGGTGAAGCCACTTCACCCCAGGGCTTATCAGACATAGCTGGGTCTGAGTTGTAGGCAGTGCTGGTTGACATTCCCCCAAGGAGGGTATGAGGGTGAAGTCACCACACACACACACACACACACACACACACACACACACACACACACACAACACACACACATATACACACACACACTCACATACTCATGCACATGGTGCACCTTGCTGAAATGACCCATGTTGCTCAAGCATCACACTGTTTGGGGGGCTTACGGTTTATCATAAACTGGTTGGTGGGTTCTAACTTTCCGTGTGTTCCAACCTCAGTATCTTTGATCAAATACTAAGTATTTCCATGGTTTTGTTGTTGACAGAGGTAGGACAATCTATTCCCTTTGGTAAGTCATTGGTGAACACATGTTAGAAAGGAAGAGATAAGGCGTCAGGTAGAACCAGAGGGAAGATGTGGTTAGTAGCTTGCCCTGACCCTCAAGGTCCTCAAGTTTCTGCCTGTGCTCCTGGAAAACAGACGACTCTCTTACAGCATGAAAAAGAATTCTAAATAACGGAGACAGGTAAATGATGCTGGGACAAGCTCGGTAAAACCTGAAGGTGCTAGTAAATACAGTTCCAGGCAGTGTGGGAATTACAAATCAGACCCTGTTTTCAGATATTTTTAACTTCTGTTTGGAATGTGCCTTTTTCTTGGGTTAGTTAGTGAACAGTCATCTTTTTGAAGAACCTAATTGACAGCCTGAGAGTGAGTTGTAGGCCCTCAAGACACAGTCTCCTTAGAAAGAGATGCCTAATTCCATTCTACAAATACTGAAAGGCAGAAGAACTGGGTGCCCAACGTGAAGGCGGAACCAGTGATGGACCTCGACTTAGGCCAGTGGCAGGACAAAAAAAGGGTTGGCGTTGAGGCCAAGGGTGCACACCAAGTGCAGAGTCTGCGAAGGTGTTCTGGAGGCCTCACAACAGGCTGTGATGGCCGCGGCAGGTGGACATGGAAGAGTAAGGTGTGGTTTGAGCAGGGGTGCAAGGACAGAGATAGGAGACCTATGGATACTAGTAAAACCAAAGCCAGCCTCGCCTGGTCATTGCCGTGTCATGGGAGTCCATGGTGTTCAGCCACACCAGCCACGATGTAAGATTGTGGAGTGGAACTTGGTGTTTGCCAGATGTTCTCCAGAGAATATTATAGTACTTTGAACTATTGTACTTTGATTTGTCTACATAATATCGTTTTTTGTTGTTAATCCTCACTCGAGGGTATTTTCCCATTGATTTTTCAATGGAAGGGAAGGTAAAGACAGAGAGAGAGAAATATCAATGTGAGAGAGACACACATCGATTGGTTGCTTCCTCCATGCGCTCCAGTCGGGGCAAGGGATCAAGCCTGCAACTGAGGTACATGCCTTTGACCAGAATCAAACCCGTGACCTCAGTCTGCGGGTTGAAACTCTAACCACTGAGCAAACCTAGGGCTCTACATAATAATTAAAAAAAAACACCCAAAATTTCTCCTGATTGTTTGAACTGTGTATGGTAGAGTGGGGAATTTTTCATATATTTTGAGAAGATTGAAATCCTTGAAAACATCCCTTCCTGGCCACTTTACTAGTACAAATGCAATATAAAAGCCTAAATGTACCTGAGACTTTTCAGCGATGGCCAAGGCATACATTTCTTCATCTCGAAGTACTTTCAACCATTCTCTCTCAATCTCTTTGTTGAGGGGCAGACCCTTTTTCATCCTGGAATTGCAAGAGAAGATGAAGTGTTCTTTCTCCTTGACTTCCTTCTGGAGTTCAATGGTCAGAGCTTGTTTCATGGACAGCTCAGCAACAAGAGCCATCAGTTTTTCAGTAGCATTTTTAATCTTTTTCTGGTAGCCATTCATCTAGAATTAAAGAACCCAAGGCTTAGCTTATGTATATGTTCCATGAAGAATTTAAGAAAATGGCAGGCTGCTGGCTGTCTATAATATGGGAGACAAATAAGAATTAGATGAGACCTCAGACACCCTAGCTGTGTAAATAATGATGAGGAGGGGAAAAGAAAGACATGTGTTCATCAAGTTACTAGTTGTCCAGGTGGGTAGTAGTGAGGGGAATAGTGAAGTCTCTGTATTTTTAAGAGGTGATGAGGAGAGGGAAATAGA